CCCCCCCCCTTCCTTTCAAGGCCCCAAGGATGATCATTCATGAAGGATCATCCGATGTGGGGGTTTGTTATTTGGATTTGAGTGTAAGGAACGAAAGTAAAAAGTAAAAGGAGAATTAACATAAAACATTGACCTACCATTATCATATCATGGCAAACCTCCCTGCACTCAAAGATGACCGCTATTCAACTTTTTTAAAAAAACCGGATGCAAAATTTCTATTATAATTCCGTTCTCAATGCCGGTTTATAAATTCCGAATTTCAGAAAACATAGTAAACTGACTATAAGTAACGGTAACCCATACTGGATTGGTGTAGGGTACCGTACAGTCAATCAGCAAAATCACGCTCGACTCGGGTTCTTTAGATATTTAATCTAAATTATATTATCAATATTTTTCTCATACAAATTATTATTGCCATTTATTAGCGCTTATTTATCTATATCTATATATAGGCGCCGGGCCTAGATCCGCCCTTGATCAGTGCAGTGTAACAGACGATATTTCTGATAAATTGCATGAGCGTTAAAATTGTTTCCATTGCTGGCATTGGTGATTTCAACCGATGTGCATTTTGTACGATATTAAAGACATTGGTCTTGTTTTCGTTGTAATAAAAGTGATTTTTATTTTATTTTTTATTTTGCACATAAATTTACAATGGCATTGTCAAATCTCACAATGCCCAGCGATATTTCAGGAGCCGTCATGTTTATTTATATTGGATATTGTAGTTCCGGTCAGTGTTGTATTAATACGCTAAGAATTGTGTCTCGTGATGCATGGTAATAAATTAAAGTCCCATCAACGACCCAGCTTTCAAAGAGGCTATGTAGTGACAATGCCATGCAAATGTAAATATTGTAGCATATACACGTGAACGCTTGTTCCAGACAGTGTGGCTGAGTGTAGATAAAAAAAAATCGTGATACTGGTAATGGTAGAAACCACGAGGCGATCCAATCTACAATGATATGCACCTTGTAATAAGTATTCCGAAGTTATTTTGACAAATTCTCACGCAATCTACAATACAAAAATGGAAAGAAAATAACAAATGTAGATCCAATTTGTTGTAACACTGTTGCCGTTCAACCATGCGCATAATTATTTCCCATGCGTCATTTGGATTTCCATACCAAATATATATACGGATTAGGATGCAAAGTGGGACATTGTATGCAACCGGCTTCCAAAACGTCGGAACATGTAATTCGGTTTTTCCAGATGTTTATTAGATTAGGTATGGAGTCCGTACGTTCATAGCATTGATGATAGGAAAATCTGAATTCGCAATATTTCATTAGTAGCTTTATCCTATTACTGACAACGATCTATATAAAAAAAATCATAGCTAAGTGTGAATTGATAGGCGTTGCATATGTAATATATGCGATTGTGTCAATCAAGAGTGACATTTTTTGTGTAACTTTAATAGGATGCTATATAAAAGTTGTTAGTTATAATATCAATATTACAATGTTGGTGAGTTAGGGTGACGGACAAAGTACTTATAAGTACGACATATGCTTTGTACATTTATTTGATAGTATAGATATTCAGAAAAAATTAACAACTTTATACCATGCAATGCGTTAATGTGGAAAGTGTACATTTTGGTACTTAAACAAACAGGTGTTGGTAACATGTTGGTGGAATTAGTTCAAAACAACTTCTGGGCTACACTGTTAGATAGTTTTAATTTTGATAAGTAAGTATTCATCTATGTAATCTGCTAAATCAGATAACTCAGACCCCCTACAGCGAGTTGCATGTTGCGGTCAACATCCATATCTTTCTTCGCTGCGATGTCCGTGTCCGTTTGTATACCTACAGGCTAAACTATCTCATCCAATTAATTGTCCAGCCACTGGTCTACTGAAGTACGTATGCACGGCTATTAATACCCAAACACACACCAAAGGCCGGAGGGTTGTTGTTGTGCAGATTGTTATTCTCGGACGCTACAGTAGACATTTTAAATATAGTTCATGGATGATCCAGTGTGACATATAAGTATGCACGTGTTGAGATTCCACAAAATCTATTTTAGATACAACACCCTGAGATATGGTTTCCTCCTGGGAAATATTGAAGGCACTACAGTGTGATAATCGTGACGTTTACTCATCGAAATTTAACCAGAAGCTGCGACGACAATATTAAGAACCTGGAAACAATACCTGTTGCAATTTATAAACCGTGACGAGGAAAGTTGTGATTTCTAAATTGCCTGTGTTGGAAGATCAACATGGCGTCGAGATAAAACGTGTGAAATCAGGAGGAACGAAATTCAGTTATAAGTGGTTGCTTGTTGTCGTATGTTGCAAGAAAACTATTCAATAAGCAATACTTTGAATACTTCCACGGTTTCTGCCGCTGTTTAAACGCAGAGTACATAACAGGAATTCATTGCTTACTTTGTAAGTTGTGTCGACCGTGAGTGTGTTTTCAACGAGAAGGAACCTAAATCGACTATTGTTTGAAGACTGTATGTGTTTTCAATTGAACAAAAACTTGGAAATCATTGTCGTATCTGAGGAAATATTCCCGTCAAGCCCCGACAAATTCAAGCTCTATAATGGACAGAAAATAATCCGTTCGGGAGTCAAACCTCTTACATCTGCTTACGGAGACCAACACACGAATCGCCCAGAATAAGCGAGATAATGCCTAAAATGAAGAATGTAGTAAGGCAAAGTGATTTATACTAGCTTCTATTTATCTATCATGTCCTTAACACAATCATAGCTTTAAATTGACGTAAATCAATAACAAATCAAACCAAAGCAATCCATTGATCATAATATGTGTAACCTCTGATAATCAGACAAACTACAGGTACAGTAAACAGATTTGATTTCATGTAATTTCAGTGAATAATAATTCGCGCAATTATAACTTTCAGTTCGAGATTGCTAGGTATGTCGTGTTCTTAAGTAGCAGTGTTATATGATAATATTAGGTATTTCGTGCTATAAGGGTTGAAGTGTTAATTATAAAAGTCTACAATGTAGTGTTATTGAACTTATAAGGTCCATAGAATTAGTTAAGATATGTATTGTTACCTGCAAGTATTAAGCTTAACTTGGTAGATATACTTGAACAGAGGGGATCTCTGTCGTGTTAATTATACGGTGGATTCATTTTAACTCGAAATCGCGAAAATCAGATTGCATCGAAATGGCCCTTTAAACAGTATGTTGAACATGCCAATTTCGTGATATGTGCAGATGAAGAACGTACTACAACAAGTACATGGTTTAATTTCTATAGATAAAATAACGAATCAATATTGATGGATACGTATACTTCCACGATGCTGTATTTCTCGGATATTAATTATGACGACAGTGCTGGAATCGCGGACAGTTTTGAATCCATGGATGACTACAGTATAGGAGTAATTTGGCGGGACCCAAAGTCGCACGTGCGGTTCCCTAATATATCGGACGCACTTCCGTTTGTGGACCTCTACGAAGAGCTATCCGACAATGAATTCGACACTTATGTATTACACCCGTGGGGTTGGCGAGAGGTAAAAGAGGGCGTACCCGTCTTTGTTTACCTACTTCCGGTCCTTGCCTTTATCACCCTTCTCGTAAATAGTCTTGTTGTATTTGTGTTCTTCAAGGAGAAAATAATGTCGACAACAAACGTTTTATTGATTGCAGTCGCGGTGTCTGATACGCTTTGTATCCTACCGCAAGCTTTGTTTCTTGTGAGCCTCTATGCCTTTTTGAGGTCTTCCGAAGACCCTCCTCATTTGCCGTTCAGCCTCTGTCGTGTCTGGGACTACATCATAAAGAACACTACCTCAGTTACGCATACCGCATCAATATGGCTGACTGTCTGCTTGGCTGCCCATCGTTACGTGTGCGTCTGTCGTCCGTTCGCTGCAAAGCGGTATTTCACAAGAAAGAAAACCATTTTGACGATAGTCACTATCTATATTACGTCACTCGCTTTGCACTTATGCAGGTTCATCGACACCGAATACCATCTCGTTCCAGTCGGAGCATTCAAGTCTGTCAATATATCTTTGGCAGAGGAAGAATTAAAGAACTCCAATCACACCGTGTTCACGTGCACAGCTATGCATGTAAAGTGGTTACGTGGCAATGAGATACTCTATGAGTGTATATATTACTGGATTTACATTGCCATAGTGATCATAGGACCTTGCCTGAGTATTTCTGTCCTCAGCGCCCTCATGATGCGCGGCCTCCGTCGCTCAGACGCTCAAAACATGCAATATGTCAGTGAAAGACAAGAGCATCGAGGCGTAATAGAAAAACTTCGACACAAAAACAGAATTAGACTGACCAAGTTGATAGTTTGTATCGTTTCCATAGTGACTCTAGTAGAACTTCCTTTGGGGGTGATGCTTATCTTGTGGACAGTGACAATGCTCCACGGAACAATTCACATAAGTGAGAAAACACTGGGCAATATAAGTGTCCTGCTCAACTTGGTGGTATACCATAGTTACCCAATGATATTTATTCTTTATTGTTTAATGAGCACACGATTCAAAACAGCCTTGCGTAATCTGTTCCGTTGTACGAAAATAAACAATCAGTTAACAAGTGAAACGTCTGTGGAGATGAATGCAATAAACGGGGAGGACCATTCCAGGACGATTGCCAAGTAAACTCTTTCAGACACTAACGTTAGTATTGCAGTCAGATCCCCCAGAACCACCGAAGACAAGGCAACACTTAGGTTAGGCAATGTAGTCCAGTTCAAGCCCATCAATACTACAGTTAGCCAATGCAGTCTTCTTCAGTCCCACTAAAAAAACCTCGTTTGGCAATGTAGACTGTCCGAGATAAGGGAAGGATATGTTATGGGAATTTATAGGACACTTCAGATGAGGAAATGCTATAGTGTTACTAGATTGAACACTTCAGATGAGGAAATGCTATAGTGTTACTAGATCGAACACTTCACGCGCAGGACCATGTGTTTACAGCGTAACGGGATTCATACCTTTATACAGTGTGGACCTATGCAGAAATGACAATGCCAAGCAATAAGTTCGAAATCTGAAATACTCTCTGTACAGGTGAAACTCGATTATTTATTTTGAACGGCTACAAAAGGAAATAGTATCGGAGTTAAAATACAACGTAAGCAATACATGGGTGACAATGACAAGATAGATCTTGTTGTATTTTTAGCCCTTGTCGTTTTTCCCGAAGTGTTTACATCCTCCTCGATAAACCAGGGGTTACGACCACTTTCGCTCTCTAAAAATATGTCGTAGCACACAGCTAACTATTTGATTGGTCTCAAGTGAAAAAACTGACTAACCGCTAGGCTGATACCTGTCCTTTGAACATTTCATAGGAACGACATCCAACTTTACCGTTATGCGACCGCGAAATTATTTTGTTTTAATTTTGCTATGACATGTATTCTAGGGGTACGGTGCTGAGAACGTAAGTGAGCTTAATCCCTGGTGTATCGAGAATGTAGGTACACCTGACAGCTAAGGTATGGGGTTCAATGTTTTCTATTGTCTAGAATGTGGGAATTTCTTTTCTTCCTGTGTGCCACTAAATAAATCCTATTCCTATCGGTACAACAGTCAGAATATGAGGTCACGGATATGTTCATATACAGAAAACCAATCATTATTGTTGGTACTTATTACGTCTCATTCAAAAGAGTTTGTATTCGCGACTGGATCAATAAGATTAAAATATATCTGACTAGTTTTAACGAATCAACAACTCCATAGCTTATACAAAGCATAGGGTTGAAAAAAGTGACCAGTCGATCTTGAACCGTTGCGACACGTTTAATACGTTCTAGTACATTGTTTGTGTAAAGTAAAACTTTGATATTTCACATTTCCAAACTGGTGAATCTAAAATCATATACACCTAGATTATCATAAGCAGTGCAAAAACATACAAGATCTACTGACAAACAGAATTTGGCAAGACGAAAGCCCTACAAAACATATGGAGACGGACAACGAAAGAATGCATTACTTCTTGACCCAACATAGTAAGCAAAAACACGAAATCGTGAACAACTAAGCAGTTCCTTAAACGGAATACCTGTAGCTCAAGTCCGTCAGAACGATGCTGTCCAGAGGTGTGAACGGTAAGGGTCGTTCACTAGCGTAGAGTGACTATCACGCTGGGCAGCATTGAACACTCCTCTACGTACATGAGGTTGTGTTCGGCAAGCTTTGACTCTCGTCAGTAGAAACTATCCTACGTTAGTTCTGATAATCGGTATAACGAAAGAGTGAATTGAAGAAAGAAGGGCATAATCTGTTCCATTATTTCCTGTTCCTTTGGCTGGAAAACCATCTGATTGACAAACTTCGACGGCCAAAAACTCAAATTTTAATATTACAGCCTTTGCTAGCCAAGGGTTAAGATCCGGTACGATCCGCTATTCCTACTCTTCACTATGAAGAGTAGGTAGATCGTACTGTATCGTAACCATTGGCTAGCGAAGATGAGCTGGATATAGAGATAGCTTCCTGTCATTAGTGGCGTAAGCATACTGACTAACCTCTAATAACCTAGCTGCAAACTCATGATGCAGTCGGAGAGTCGGGGACAGGTGAAGGAGAAACAAATATCCTCCATGATGCCAGTCTGGGCAACGACTAGAGCAGAAAACACAACAGTGCCTTCTGGCAAGGTTAAATCGCTCCCATGAGTAGCCCAAGTTTCCTCTAACCCCTACACTAGACATCTATCTGTCAAAATTTCAAAATTTGGTGTTCAGGGCCAGGAGAAGCTCGGGCTAACATAGGAGGGATTACGTCGTTAAACTGTTCGGTAGTACCCGGGCATGACGACGGTATAGGAGGTGGACAGACTTTCTCCCGAAGAATCCTGACAAAGTCCCTTGAAACGCACGCATGCTTTCATTGGCATCAACGTTATCGGAATCAACAGCCGACCGGACTCATTGGGAGCCGAACCATCTATATCTATTTTCCGAACATAAGTCGTCAATGAGAATTGCCCGGCGACAGATTGAACATGTATGCATGTACCTTCACGTATTATATCGTTATGGTACTGGATCTATTTACCAACGATATCATCATGGAAACGTATATCAACTATATAAGTGGATATATTTACCAATGATATCACCACGGACACGGATATCAACGATAGAAGTGGATGTATTTACCAATGATATCACCACGGACACGGATATCAACTATAGAAGTGGATATATTTACCAATGATATCACTATGGAAACGGATATCAACGATAGAAGTGGGATGTATTTACCATCACCACTGAAACGGATATATTTATCAAGTATAGTAGTGGATATATTTACCTTTACCATCATGGTAATGAATACATTTGTCAATTACCAACGATACCACCATGGTAACAGATTATTAGTCAACGTTATCACCAAGGTAATGTATACATTTTCCTGTTCTCCTTGGTAACAAATGGTCAAGAATGTACAGCATATTGTCTAAACTGATACATACATGTACATGAAGTTATTTACACCCGGGATACGGACATATCAATGACATAATTAGCTATGACATCAAACTGTTTCAATTATGAAAGCATCAAAGTATAACAAACCAACTTCTGAACATTATTTTTACCTTTAATGTGATATGCACGTACAAGTATCACCTCCACACGTAATACATGCTAGTAAAATACAATGGACAGTGTTAAAGTAGATCTGGAATAGATGGACTCCAATGATGAATCAATAATTACAGCAAAAGTGTAAAACGCTGGATCTCTCATTGAGTAAATAAATAAATATAATGTAACTATAACACACACAAACCTGACTTGAGAAAGACTTTGTGTACAAAACAAAACCATACATCTTAATTGAGATACCATAGTATCAATAGAAAAAACATTTTTTAGAAATAATTTTATTCAGGATCATAAGATTTTTCTATTTGTTCTCTTGTGAGCAGATATATATAATCTTATATTGTTTCCATATTATGCTTCTTGAAATCAAATGCCAAAAAAACAAGTGCCCTTATAAAACAAAGAACAGTTTGTACTTAACATATGCCTATGGCATTGAGCTATCACAAAGGCTAAAACGGATTGGTTTTCTTCATTTTCACTGTATTTAAATGCTTTTTGTAAACTGATAATCTAAAAAGCTTAAAGTTAATTAAACAAAATGAAATTTGAATTGGTTTTTATGAATGTTCAGAATGTATACCTCACAACACAACGTTAACTCAAACTTTGGAGTCCCATGTTGTCCCACGGTATTGTATGGCTCTCATACAGCTCCAACTACAACCCACAAGGATGGGAATTGAAAGTGTACCAAATAACACCATAATACAGTTTTGCATTATACTGTTTGTACGGTATATTTTTTTCATAAATTTTCATACAGAATAAAAAATAGCATAATAATGCTAAACACCAGTAAGAAACTTATTGATATTTGTTCGTAAATAGGTTTTTACTTAATTAACCAGTAATTTTAATCCATTAAGCTATGCATACCCTATACATAATGTAGTGTTTATGATTTATCAAGTGCAACGGGTGATGGGATGGCCATATTTAAAGCGCAAGCCACTAATACTCTTTGTTCTCACTGAAATATTGATTATTTGGCTTTGTCTACCTTAAAGCCATCCTCAATACCCCAGGGGTTACGCTCACTTACGCTCTCTACACCCCTGGAATATGTCCTAGCAAAATTGAAGGCTCGATGTGCGCCACCTTGTTGATGAGGTAGGAAGACTAGTTTGATCCTTTGTTATACAGCAAAAGAATCTCTCGGTCACCTAATGGTAAAAATTGACAGACTTTTAAGTCGGGCGTCACTCCTCTGTAATCTTTAAAGGACAAGTATCAGCCTAGCGATTGGTCAGGTTTTTTAACCTGAGACCAATCAAACAGCTATCTTCGTGCCTTCAATTTTGCTTTGACATATTCCAGGGGTGTAGAGAGCGAAAGTGAGTGTAACCCCTGGATATGAGGATGCCTTAAAGCTGGATAGGGAAATTCAAATAATAAAAAACAGTAATACACAGAGAGCAAATTGTGTAAGACTTGCCACACAATTTATTTACACACAATTTATTAATTACTGAATGACCATACATACACCAATCAAATTGTACTTGACCCAACACACCTGTAAAATCAAATCAGACTCCACCTGACACACCCTTAACATTACATACTCGAAAAAAATCAAATATGAAAGGAGGAAAAAAATAAAATATTCCCTAATATCTAGCTTTAACAAAAATGTAAAAGCAGATGTACAAATAGGTAGATCATGAAATCGGATATGATAAACATTCTGAGTATTATACATGAATAAAACTTGAATTTCTAAATTGGCTCTCTACAACATCTCCTTTTCTGTGTTCTCATTGGAGCCATATTAATATATATATATATATAAATCTTCTGTGGGCATATACATTGCATAACAAACACTGCAAAGATATGCAATACATTTGGATGAGATCCTTAATCCCAGTACTTCTTAACGATACAAACATAAAGTTAGCACTTTTACAAAAATATTTGGACTATTAAAATCAGATCTCTAAAAATATCAGCATAAAGTCAAGACTTTTACTAAAAAGTATTAAGAAATTACATGAAGCAGGATACAGTAGAACAGGTCAAAAGACATTAAGAGCACACTGGAATGACATCAGCAGTTAAATTATATCAATTATCTTAACACTGAATACTGAACATTGAACTAGAGTGGAATTTCAATATTATCCAGCCACCTTCATTCCGGGTAAATTTGGCAGTATATGAAAATGACTGGATTTGTACAGAAAAATACCAATCTGTTTGTTATGTTCTTAAGTATCCAAGTAATCAACCTGTTTCATAATCCAGCTTAATCAAACATGGCTCTATATTTACAGATGTTTAGTTCAACTGTCAAGTATATATACTCTAAAAGTATGGAAATATTCATATTTTTTGTGTGTTGAGTTTATTAATGCAAAAACATCTGTACACAAATATACTTTTATTTATAGATTAATACAGATATATAAAAAAAATCAAAACCAAAGCCAACGAAAAAATGTCCAAACCATGATTAGTTAAAAGAGTCAAAACATGACTATTCCTACAAGTGATAATTTCCAAGTTGAGCATATTTGTTGATTACAATTATGCTGGTATGATGTTTATAACCTTATCAATTACAACCACTCAAAACAGTCTTGTTTCTGTTGAAGAAAACAATATTTAATAACAGAATGTAACTATGTTTTTTTGTAAATATACTAATTATTTCATTGAATGAAAAATTGTCTTTTGAATGACATTCCTAATATTTCTAAAGCAGACTAATGTTTTAGGATATAATTAAATACAGTATATTGCTTATAAGTGGTGACCTTGTCAACTGACATGTAATTTTTTTATGACAACATAGTCAAACTACTCATAATTTTGGCAAGGAGCACTATATATGTATGTACATGTTATGTCCCTAGTCCACGTGCACCACACTCAGCAGTCACTGGCCAGCAATGCATGCAGTCCTTACACTGTAGTACCGATACATCCTCAGGCGGCCATAGACGGATACCGCCATTCCTTAGATGGGACCATTGTTTCTTTGACAGACTGGACGGACACAAATTTCAGTAGGTAGTGTGGACCGCCAGCTTTGTCGTTCGTACCTGGAATGAAAACAAGAGTTTGTATCACTCCCACAAAGTACACCAAAGTCATAATTACAGTCAGAAAATTAGCCACAGGAAAAGGGTTACGCTTAAAATTGGTTACAACGAGGTATTCACTATAAAACTTAAATTGAACAAAACTCATCCTAAATAAACAGAAACTGTTTTAGTATCGAGTGTGATGCCCATGAGCATCAATTACAGCTTCCCAACGTCTGTGCATGCCCCGAATGAGATCGCATGTCCGGTCTTAAGGTCACCTGAGCTTTAGCTCAAGTGACCTATTGCTATCCGTCTTCGTCCGTTAACATTTTACATTTTCAACTTAAGCTGAAATACTTGCAAAGGGATTTCATTAATATTTCATGGGAAGGATACTGACATCTCCCTGACCAAGTGTTGTTATGTTTCAGGTCGATCAGAAATCCAATATGGCCGACACGGTCGCCATTTTGAAAAACTATTTCAAACTTAAAGTCAAGTTCTAGTGGGCCGATTGAACTGAAACTTAATAGGAATGATCGACTCATGGTCCTGACAAAGTGTTGTTATTTCTTGGGTCGAACAGAAATCCAATATGGCCGCCACAGCAACAATTTTGAAAAACTATTTCAAACTTAAAGTAAAGTTCTGCTGGGCCGATTGAACTGAAACTTGGTAGGAATGATCGAATTATGGTCCTGAAAAAGTGTTGTTATTTTTCGGGTCAATCAGAAATCCAATATGGCTGCTACTGCTGCCATTTTGAAAAACTATTTCAAACTTAAAGTCAAGTTCTACTGGGCCGATTGAACTGAAACTTAATAGGAATGATAGACTCATGGTCCTGACAAAGTGATGTTATTTTTCGGGTCGATCAAAAATACAATTTGGCTGCCATGGCCACTATTTTGAAAAGAACTATTTTAAACTTAAAAACAAGTTCAATAGGCCGATTTAACTGAAACTTGGTCTAGGAACGATCAGCTCATGGTCCTGACAAACTTAAGTTAATGTTATACTTAACTATTTTTTACTCAAATTGTTTAAATATGGTGTGTTTATTTGATGTTTACAAAGCACATCCAGGTGAAGAGTCACATGTGAAGTATGAATGTTATGGTGAAAATCTCAAAATATTCACGAGGGTTTTATTTTTCATTTTTCACGAATTTTAAGGCATTCACAAATTTTTTAAACTAAAACTGTCGTGAATATAAGCACCTATACAGTATACAGGTTCAAGGGGAACTCCAGTGCCTACCTGACAGCCTAGCTCCTCCAAAGGGCTGTTGCCCTACCACAGACCCGGTGGACTTGTCGTTGATGTAGAAGTTACCAGCCGAGTCCTTCAGCATTTCAACCAGTTCCTGTTTTACATTCCTGCAGAAGTAACCAAGTTTATTTGACTATTTAAACATCGTCATTGTTTCTTAATGAACTTTTCTGTATCACATTATAGGTTTAATGGACCTTAACTGCAGGGGAGAAGTTTTACACTTGACGTTTTCTTTAAAGACTTGTAGGCTTAATTTTAACGAGGGGAAAAAGTAATTAATCATATATGGTATACAATTGCTTGATTTATGTACAATTATGTCACTTACTCTTCCTGTGCGTAAATGGCGCCTGTCAGCGCAAAAGGTGAAGTCTCCGTGACCATTTTTGTGACCTCTTTGTACTTGTTGTCTGGGTACACATAAACCGCCACGACAGGTCCAAAAATTTCCTGTATACAAACAATATGATTGGACAATTACTCCTCCCACTTGTCAACCCTTCACATTGTGTATTCTGTATGTAGGGTATCTCAGCCTTGGGCTCCGGCCTGAGGTTGGATTGTTTTAATTATCATGATGTAATTTAATAGGTCCTCATATCTTAAAAAAAAGGACTTCAACCTTTTCACAAAATTAGCTTTTTCCTTAGATAACAAGACCTTTATACTCAGTTATCAAGATACCTTTTGATATTTAATAAATCACATCTGCTGACGACAAGATAACCAGAGTCGATACATGTCTCTCAATGTGTTAGGATATATATTTTACATGAAAATTCATCCAGTAATATAACTCGCATTATAAGTTAACATTTTTATTCGCGATAACAGATTAATAATTTACCTCTTGCATGATTTTGTCTTTTGGATCACTTGTCTCTATAATGGTTGGCTCTACAAAATACCCTTTGCTGGAAACGGGAATTACAGATTAATGGAAAAGAATTACAAGTTAATAGGCTGGGACCACTTGTATAAAACATCCCAAAGATTAGGAAAATCTCACGGAATGTACTGTCTATGGTAATCTTAGACTTGAGGAAATCTTAAGGGTTGAGATGTTTAATACAAGTGGGGCCTGGTACAATTATGTTTAATATACCTCTACTTTATTTACTCTATATAAAAGTAATTGGTTAAATCGAATACATCCCCACTTTTGCCTGACTGTGTTTTAGTCCTGTGTGTTAGTCTGTGAACTAAAACACACCTTCACTCAGGTGTTTCCGCCGAGCCAATTAGGCGAGAGGTTGCTGAGGGAAATAGGCATGGTCAAGGGACACCAGAAACTTGCTATACCCCTCAACCCCATACTTTAACTGTATAATAAGAAAAGCTCACCTTTTATAACTTTCTCCAAATGATCAAATAAACTACATCAGTTGAAAACATGTAAAACATATGAATTTATATATTCAATACAAAAGATCAAATACTAAACAGGTCAGGGGTATTCACAAAGCTGAATTCTGTTTTTTCAAACTAATCTTAGGAATACCATGATTGAATTTAAATGGTGATCTGATCTGAAAGTATACTTGGCAGATTCAAACCTTTCAGTCAGAGCAATTAAATACATTACATCACTATTTTTTTAAATGATATTGGCAAAACCATTATCATCACTGCCTCTGTAGGTTAGTTTGTTACTTGGTTCTTAACGCCCCATTAACACAAAGGAGGTCATTAGGCCAATTAAAAATAAATCAAACATGTTAAAGGACATCTAACGAACGTAAAGGTAAAAGACAAAACGTCGACGTGAAAAGTAAAATTGGCTATATTTAGTTGCCTCAGTAGGCTTAGTCAATTACAGAAACACACCTGTCATCACAGGATCCACCAGCAACAACTTTCAGATTAGGAGATGTCTTCGCATGATCCAGATAGCCCTTGATGCGGTTGAAAGACTGAAATAAATAAGGTATTTCAGGGATAAAAAAAGGATTTCAACCTCTTATCCTAATTCTAGATTTTATTTTGAAATCATGCGAGTTCTCTAAATTTTACTTTTCGCTTAAATTAAAATAATGAAGTTAACAGCTTACATTACGGCATGTTATATGATTGTTTTGTCAAATTGTAAGTAATGTTTTGAATATTTTTGGATTTTGTGACACAAATTCTCCTTAATGAAAAAGAATTACAAAGACTAGCAAGAATGACACTACCTACATGTACAGGTGATTTGTGTTAGAGTTATCTCCCTTAACATACTTTATCATCATGAAAATTAACTCTTTCACCACTGGAGACCATAACAGACTCATCCATATTTATGCTTGATAGAGTCTACTAAAGTTACATAGTGGTGAAAGGGGGTAATTCTAAATTATCATTTATAAGACATTTTGGAGGTTGATCATTTTGGAACTCTTTTGAAAAAAGATGCATATGGTAAGCATATATCCTGTGTACCTTATCGTCAATGACAGCTGACAAAAAGGTATCGTTATCCAGCGGGGAGCCCACTTTGATCTGTTTGTGGATGTTGATCATGCCCTCTTTGATCTTGGGCCACAGGGAAGCTGGGATGTAGGCACGTGAACAAGCCGAGCACTTCTGACCACCAAACTCGAATGCTGACCGAACTGTACCATTCACTACACTGTCAACGTCTGCCGTGGGGTGGACGAAGTGGAAGTTTTTGCCTCCACATTCTGTAAAGTAACATGTATACAGATTCACATACATAAACCATGTTCGGATTGTAAAAGTGGACCCACTACTAAACTTGTGTAATTGATACTGGAACAAGAGGTCTAACAGGTCTGTATGACAATATCACTCATCTGTTTATTTTCATATTTGAATGAGACAAAACGGTTTAGATTTGTTTTCCGATAATTTGAGACCATGGTTGCCATTCCACATTTCTTTATTACCGAAACACTAACAATTCATTATAATAAGTCTGTCAGACCAATGACACAATTTTTAGTGCCACTTTTGGTAAAATTCATTTGATAAAAAGAACCTCAAACTAGTTCCAACTTTATTGGCCTTTTTTGCAAATATTAAAAGCTGTAAACATGAAATTGGAATTTGTTTTAAATCCCCTATACATAATGCAAATGAAGATAGTGTCCACAAGGAATCAAAGGGCCACTCGTTTTAAAGTGCAATATCACTGAAATATCATAACTGGTATATCATTCAACCGATAACATTATTCTTACACTAGCCTAGCTAAAAGTGCATAGGGAAATGGCACCCAAAAGATAGAGACAATAAGGTAGGAAAGAGATGGAGGTCCTAGCTGTTTCAATGGTGGCAGATCAGTTATGGTATCTGTTGTGTTTAAAGAAAAGGACATCAGCTGTGTTCCCAAGGATATAATGTAAAAGGAAACTCCTGATTATATCGAGGGTATGCTATATTAATTGCCACTAATGATCATGCAGTGAGATACGACAGGTCAATTCTTATGTAATGTCCAAGAACCTCCAAGTTATTCCAGATCATTTTCATTTTTTGTATTACATGCAATGAGAAAAATGTACAATATTTTATCACATACCTGTTAAATCTTGTAACAGTAATACAAGCAATGTTCAGACCATGAAATACAACGTTCTGTATTACACATGTGCAATACGGAATGTTGTATTTACCTACGTACTATTTTTTATGGGAATCCCCTTGTCATGGCGAACTGAAAAGTTCCCGGTTTTTGCAAAAAAATATCAAAGTTTATAAAATCTTTGAATCGATCTCTACCAGATACAGAAGGTATGTGATAAAAGTAAGACCACATACTTGTGTTTTTCTAAAGAAATCAGAAAGCACTCATTTATTGCGCGGACGTATATATTCACTCGTGCGCGGATGGTCTTGCATATACATCATACATAGCATAATCTTGGAATTAGTTGAATTTCATTCAGACTCAAGTGTTGACATGTTTCGACTCAAAGGTCAACAAGTCTGAATTAAATTCAACAAATTTTAAGATTCTGCCATGTTGGGTCCACTCCATTGGAGTAAATTTATGAGCTATTAGCGGGGACTCGGTATACTAACAGTATCCACAGCAGTATTCATCCATATATCCCTGAATGTTCTACTTAGAAGGGTCATTGTGTCTCCAACCTCCTACAGTCAGTATTACACAATTAGACAGGTGGTGTTTTATTACTGGATTATCATACCTGTACTTTACAAACTTATTTCTCTCAAAATCGTTGATTCTAGTTTTGATGATAATAAATTCTCAATCAGCCCAGAATATATGTTTGGTTATATCAATATTTCAGGTTTGAGGATATTCTTTTCTACTATTATCTCCTAGTTCTATCAATGTTTACAGCCTTGAGGACACTGTTACCTCCGATCAGTCTTGGGTATGTTCGGAAATTCTCTAGGTTCTGGCCAACCTGCTTCCACAAGTGATGGAAAGTCCTGTCAATCAATCAAAATTAAAAAACATAATCAAATATATCTTACATATTTGCACGGTCATCTGGAGAATGATTATGTTTAAATGGTGCAACTGTAAGTTTAAGCTAGAAACACAGTGAATTTGAGCTCATCTATAAAAATTGCAGTTTTCTTTCCATGCTCATTGATCAACCAATAAGAAATGTCCATAAGAATAACCTTTTTTTTCCCAAGTCTTACTCTTAAACCCTAGGAATGAGTTGCCAAATACTATTTTTCTGGATTCTAGAAAGTAAACTACCTATGAGAGATGACAGATAATGTCATTCTAATTTTAAGCATGTCATGATGTGAACACCTACTTTACACTTCCGGTGAAGTTGATTCCTGCAAGGTCATGAGAGCTTGTGATTGTATTCCCAAACACTGGGCCGTCAGCGGGAACGAAGTTGATGACTCCCGCGGGCACACCAGCCTCACGGAATATCTTGAACACGGTGTAGTTGGATAACATTGCAGTGTCCGAAGGTTTCCACTGACAAACATTACCCTGGTAAAATAGTCACACAAAGCACTGTATAGTTGCTCATTTTCATGAGTGTAAAAGTTCATGGTCAAGTGATTATTCAGTTACCGGTAGAGTTAAACATCACATTTGGTTTCAGTTTTTACACAGAACTTTTATTTTACGTCAATTGATTCATTTATGACTATTGTTACGTTACTTTATTTACGCATTACTCTTATCCACACCTTACATAAAACAACGGAAGTATTCGCCATTCAACAAAGGCCTTCATTATTAACCTTCAGCTATGGAGTTTGTTTTTTCTGATTTATCATTCTTCTTACAATGTGTGAAGTGTACTTGAATTCACAACTTGTTAAGCATTCACCAAATTTGTGAAATTAAAGCTCTTTGAAAAAATAATGACTATTTATGAATAACACAAGGAATTCTCTGATAATACTTTTCATGAAAAATTATTAAATATTAATAATATATCATATATTAATACTGATATGATTTTATATGAATTTTATTTTAATTCGACATCATTTTTTCCGTCCTAAAATAATAACTGCCTGATGGTAGGGATTCATTATCAAAAGAGAATCAGTAAATATAAAGTTGATAGTGCTGAGCTCCAGAACGGCTCTTCTTAATTGAAATATACCAAACAAGGCTAATACTATATACCGGGAAATTTCGCCTAATTAAACTTTTGCCCTTCACCCATGAAATCAATAATTGCCCAGTGTTTATTTCGCCTTTAATATTTAATTGCTATGCTTATTATGCTATTCATTTATATTTGCAGTAAGGATAACTTCACCCTCATTACGGAAGGCAAAAAATACAAAAACTAAACTGTAGCGAATATTTCCTGGTATAATGTAATTAAATAAAATATATTCCGTCTTTGCGTATTGCAGAGTTATCTGCTCTTGTGAGCAGGTACTGATTGTTACATCATTGATTTGTGTGAGAAAATTACATTGTTTTCTCAAAAATTGATGATGTTACTCTCACAAACAAATGACGTAACACTCAATACCTGCTCACAAGAGCAAATAACTCTGCAATATGCAGACGGAATACTCAGTCACATTAAATTTCTGAAAAGGATTTTTTTTACCGACTTGGGAAGATTAAGTTATAAAAGTATTTAAATCTGCAAAATTTAGAAATATGTGACAATAGAAGTCGTAAGATCACTGACCATCATGGCTGGAGCGGACGCTAAATGACCACCAATAGCTGTGAAATTGAAAGGAGTAATGGCTGCCCAGAAACCCTGCAAGTCAACAAAGAAATAACTGAAAGGACCTTGTTAGTGGAATGTCTATAAAATATTAATATACAGCAATTGAAGAGCAAAGTTTGATGCAAAATGTCTTGTTTGCTAAATGTATGTCTCTAAATTGTAGAAACACAAGAACTAAAATTAAATCATCACATTTTTAACAAAATATTATCAGCTCCACGTTATAAGTATTCTATGAAGGAGGACCACATTATGACTATTTTATACAGGACTTTTAACAATGTGGCCTTATAAAAAGCAAACAAAATTCTGCTAAATGAAAACAACACAGCATCAAGGTGATCATGAAATGATTATGATGTTATTAAAGGAAAAGACCACAAAAATTACTTGTTTTTTTTATATTTGTTGGGAAACAAAATAATGTCTTTCAATTATTTGGGATAGTTCAAATCAAGAACTTGGAATGGGGAATGTTCCTATCGAAAATAGAGGCATTGTAAAATAAACATACCAGGTCATGACCTTACACTTCACAATAGAAACAGTATTGCTTACCTCCATTCCTCGGTAGACGGTGGAATTCTTGGTGATATTTGCTGTTGGACTGAGTGGCTGGTACCTCGTGATATCCTTTACAACGAACATGTCAAAATGTGTTAATGAATTAACAAACTTATGAACAAAGGGAGGTAAGTTATTTAGTATCATCACATGAGTAAGGGAGATATATGCCTGTTCAAACATGTACAGCTTTTTCAATAGATAAGAGTTATCGTTGAAACATTTGAAAAAACTGATGGAAGATTGATCTTTATCACATAATGTACTGTTATCCAGTGAATATACCCATGTCATATTTTTTGGCGTATTAACCGATGTAATATGACCTATCAGCCCTGTGATTGGTTGTAAGTTTCAATTGGTTCAATTGTGACGTCACGCATAGGACAAGCACATAATGTCACAGACTTCCGCACTGGAATCAAAAAGGCAGCTTTTTACAGTTTCAGGTTGCAAGAAAATTGTCGTTTAACATGAGTGCCACAAATCTTGATTATGTGATAAAAAGGATCTTAGAATCGTTTTCATTTCATATAAATTGAAAAGTTCTTGGACGCGTTTTATAAATCTTAAATGAAATGGAAAGTCATGTAAGATCCTATATATATGTAACCTCCTTCTAACTTGGCAAAAATGACAATTCACACACAAACACAGTTGAAAATGTTTAAACTACCTGTATGACTGATTGATAAATTATGAATCCTACTACCTGGGCAAACTGCGCATTAAATCGAAGGAAGTCAATCAACTCAGCAGCCGCATCTATTTCTGCCTGGACAACATTCTTTGCCTGAAACAGATGAAAAACCAAGTTCCGATAAAATGAAACTATTGATTTTTTTTGGATTTTTAAGGTTTAAAACATTTTTAGCAATAGTTGATATATATAGATTTATTACGTTTTTACCAGTGAAATATCAGATTCTATCAACTTGTAATTTACACATTTGTTTTTGAGAAATTTAATGCCCAAAGTGGGGGGTGCGCAGAATACATAAGTGTAAGCAATTTGAAGGGGTTTTTTTACATGAAAAGATCGACGATTCTGGCAGACCGCCATCTTGGACACGAGATAATCTCCCTTGGTACACGGAACTCAAAGACAAACAATATTTTGTCATTTTACAATTTTTATCACAGTTTTAAACAAATATTATATTTTTATATGAACATCCCTTTGTTCCATCATGATATGCTTTGGACTGGTTGTATAATATCTATAACATCACAGTTATAACTTAATTCATAGCATGCAACATTTTGCACATCTCATTATATTTTTATTACTTTCTTAAAAATCATATACTTTAATTTTCTCTCTTTACTACAATCAGTGTTTGCCATTGTTTGGTTCAGTGTATCTATAATACTTAAGTGATGGTGGTGTACATTTTCTCTACAAACATCACATTATGAATGTATAGGTTACAAAATCCACATAAACAAATTTGTATATGAAACTGCTTGATGTCTTATCGCTTATAACTATGATTAATTGTGTTTTCGGGCTTCATTTGCAATGTTTTAAATGAACTAATTACTGGTAGAGTAAGAAGTTACTGATGTATCTTGACATAAATCGATTGATCTTTACATAAACCGATTGATTTCTTTCCATAATTATTAAAAACTGCCTATCAATTCATTCAGCTTTTTCATGTATAAAGAATGAGTATACTGATGATTTCAACATATTCATGATTTATTAGGTATAATTATGAAAAAAAACAAAAATCATTTTTTGTAAAAACACATTTGTACATTTAAACATTTGACATATTCATGATTCATTGGGCATCACTGTGTAACATTATTAACTTAAAGATAATCCATCATTCTAAGCTATGTATTCATATATCTACTGGAATTCTAATAGGAATTAACTGACCTTGAACATGAATGACTATTTCGATCACAAATCATGGCGTTAAGTAAAATCTGAGAACCTTAGCTGAACCTACACCTAATTCCTCTTTAATCATCAACTCCAAGTTAGCAAAGATGCTCATCAAAATCAATACATTTGTATTTATAGGAAAAGATATTATTACATATCAATTATCATGTGCAATATATAGGACAGGAGAAATGCAAAGGGCCAGATAGCTAATGTGCAAAGCCTATTTCCTTCTAAAAACTGCAGACAGAATCTGACAGGATTATGTTGGGTGTATAAAAACTTAAGTTGTTGGTTTCCATAGACCAGACAGTAGATTTATAGCTTATATGTAATTCAATCTACACTGTACTCAGGTTCTGGCCAAATTTTTGGAAAATGTCAAATTTTTGCTGCTGTGGCAAAAACTATAATCCTTATATATATATACACAATAGACCAGTTTCAGAAAGTTTCAGGTGTCAGAAGAGTAAATACATCCTAAGTGAAAATAAACACTGCCTTAAGATCCTTGGTATCAAATTCCTCGTGACCTTTGAACTGAGACTGGTGTCTATTACAATTTACTGGTAGATAGATACAAAAGTGTCGCATCACCTGATCACACCATACCTGTATTTTACCTGTGGAAGATTTTCAAGGTTTCTAAGTTTATAACTAAAATATTTTGCAAAGAAAATGCAGAGAGGGCCTGTATGGTGCCCATTGGATACTTCAGCAATCATGTCAAAATATTTTATTAGAAGTATTGTACTGCAAATTCCCCATTTCAGATACTGTTTCTGTAGTGTTAAGGATGTTTTACAGATATCAAGAGTACAGTATATGGTTTGGTGTTAGGTTCTCAACTGTTTCCATATAATGACTAAGGAATAAGTTACTCAGGGGTGGGGCCATATCCTGAGGCTATAATCCTGGTAGCATGTTTGTTCTTTTTATTAATGCCCAGCATGAATCTTAAGCATATATAGGTAAATGATAGGGATCTCAACCACATCTTATTTATGACCCAATGACTTAGAAAATGATTTGAACCACTGGTCTACATAATTATGACGTAGGAGTAATCTAATATTGTTTTTACTTAACATTTCTATATTGTTAAGCTACAAACAATGGTATGCTGGCCCTGATAATGCATTTATATCATACCTGTCCCATCATTGTGGTGGCTAGGAGGTCCATCCTGTACTTTCCACTCATTAGGTCTGCTGCCTTGAGGAAGATTTCTGCCCGTTCATACAGGGGGCGCCTCTCCCAGTCCCTTCGTACTCGTAGACTTGTGTCTATTCCCTTCTGTATCAAATCCTACACAAACAGAATGACACATGTCGATGCATTTTTATTTCTCTGAATATTATTTTTGAAATAATTTGAATCATGCTGCAATAAAAAAATAACATACATTTTACGCATAAATTTCTGCCCATCATAAATTAAAATGTCACATGAACAATATATACAAAATGTAGGACAAATAATTATGTTTAGTGAAACATTAAATATATTGTTCATGCAAATAAGATGAGGAAATTAAGAAACAGCTGACTGTATATATAGTATACATTTTGTTTAATTTTACAGGATGAAACTTTGCTCAACATTTTTATGAACTGGGATAAAATTTAAGGCAAACTCAAAGTATTTATAACATAACTATATATATGTTAGATATTATAAAGGGGCAAATTCACCATAACTGTATAGCTTTTATTGACAATGTTCATATAGCACCCAACAATCATGAAACATTATCTATGGGTAATTTCACAGGATGAGATGTGCTTGATCTATGTTAGATTTTCAGGAATAGCTTGCAATTGTGAATTCTTGAAAGTAAAGATGTAGTGAATGGAAAAACTTTATACAATGTTAAAAGTTAACAAACAGTATCTGTCCATAAACTGGTTCAAAACCCACTGTAGCACTTAGTCATGCCTGATCATGATCTAGATCTGATTATTATAAACTGAAAGGACAAGTCAATAAATACAGGATAATTCAGATTTTGAAGAAAACTCAGTTTTATTCTAATTTATTTTTCTATTGTTTAAATGGAGCTGTCCAGGTTTAAAAAGGAAACATTTAGCAGTCGTAAAAAGAATTGATGAAGCCCTGGTATATTGTAACTCTAGATATAGAGCTAAGGAAATTCCCTCCAGACAAATCGTAACAAGAGCTGGGGCACCCATGTGTGACAATCTTCTGGTGACATTCATAGCATTGTATTTCAACTAAACAGCAGCAGAATTTAATACAAGCTCATCTCCTTTTCCAAAACCAACAATATACACATATACAGTATACAGTGATAAAGGTTTAACGTGGCCATGAAATGGTTGAAAATAAAAATAAAACTCTCATCCAGTTAGGTATAGATACGAAATATGAGGAGGGCCTTTAGGCTGGCAGTAACCTGACCACACAGGAATACCTCTACACAAATAATTCTCCAGATAAACTAAACAGAGATCATGGCCAGGGTCTAGGGTGTCGGAATATTTTGCGCTGTATTTTACATACATGTATATTTAGCAAAACTGAGAGGAAATCTCATATCCCCCCTCCCTCCAAAAAAACCCATAAAAAAATAGCACACTCTGTGTAACATTGCTTCTGTATTTATAAAACAATGCACCTATTAGACATTTTTTCAAATCTTTCGATCATAGACATATTTTTGGCATATTCAATACACTTGTTACAATATCTGTGTCATTGAATAATGTTCAGGTTGAAAACTGAAATCCTGCTGGAACACAACTAAATTCCTGCTAAATTTTGACTTGGAATAGATTAACTGTTTATGGTACTGACAAGCATTGCAGTGAGTTGACCTCTGACCCTTGCTGTGACCTCATCCTTTAAGGGTTAGGTATTAGATTCTGTGGATGATGGGCAACAGTGTACTGTATCATACCTGGTACATGTATATATATGTACTAATAATGTCTTTTTGCAAATAAATCAGTGATTCAAATGTTTCAGCCTGGTCAAGCATTTGCAGTGATTTGACCTTTGACCTCTGCTGTAACCTTGATCTTGATGGTATGGATATATAAAATTAAAAAATGTGTGAACAGATAAATACTGCAGCCAGGATTTCAATTAGTAAAGAATCAAGCCAACATGATCAGGTTTTGACTAAATGTCCTGATTTTTTAGTCAACCTACTTGTATTCAAGCTTTTTGAGCATTAAATTTACAAGTTTAAAGTTAACTTTTCAAGCATCAAGCAATTTAACAATACCAAGTTTTGACTAAATGCTCCTGATTTTTGGGTAAATCTATTCAAGCTTTTTGAGCATTTAATAAATTACAAGTTTCAAGTTAACTTTCTAAGTTTCACCTCAACATCTTCCATGCATGGTTGAGAAAACATTGGAGTATCAAGTGAACATTTTTCAAGTTTGGGGCTAATGTATCTACGTCCTGGAAATATAGGAGTTGGCAACCAGCCAACACAGTCATACATGTACAAGTAACTTGTGAATGCTATTCAAACAGATTCAGAAGGCTTTAAATAACAGATTGATAACTAAGTTAGTGTAACAGGAAAGTATTGTGTTTCCACTGAGTATCGAACCCGCGATCCCAGACTTTCTAGTCTGATGCTCTACCACTTAGCTAAAGGGAAATTTGAAATCCCTCTAGTGGGAAGCTGGAAGGCGATTGTAATCATATGAACAATTATATATATAATTAAAACCTGCTACATTAGTATATTAAAACTCATTTATAAAGCTGCAAACTTTTATGTATGTACTTAATGATAGTGGCTGTGTCTTTCATAGTAAGGACTTGTTGTGATAAACTAATTTCTTGTAGTTTAGCAATGAAACAAGCCAAACTTTCTCATTATTTATATACATATATAACAGCAATGTAATTTATTTAAAAATAAAAAATAAAAAAAATGTGTTGTCCCCTTATAATTATTCAGACCTATATATTTATATTCATTATTGTATCACTTAAAGGTGTTGTATCTGCAAATGTTAACAGTTTCTGATAAATGTCCCGGCTGCCATCATGAATACAAAATGTATTACTTTACCATCTGTTGTAATTGTCGGAAAAAAACCTGTATAATAAAACGTGATACTCCTATCAACCCAGAGCTCATATTCAGTTGATGGTCCCTCACCATTTCCACTTACATCAATGAATCCATCACAGGTATATATTAGAAATAAACTCATTTCCAATTTTCATTATTACCTTCGATCTTTCAACTCATCATCAATGATTACAAATTATTGACAGCACATCACAGAAACAAAAAACATGGCACAACACAATTAGTCACTATCTTAAATCAAAACATTTAGATGACTGTAAATTGCATCATAAATTGATCTGATATTGGCACAAATTTATTAGCAACAGCACGAACACTTTTTGAGTTTTTCTCATACAAACTTTTTGAGGTTTTCTCATACAATCTTTTTGAGGTTTTCTCATACAATCTTTTTGTGGTTTTCTCATGTATGAGAATGTATAGGGATAGAATTATTTTTTGTTCATGTACATCGCGGCAATGAATAGAACTAGCTGATCTACATATCCTGTGGAGCGCATTAGGTGTCAAGGTCATTCATTGGAACAAACAAGATAGCCCTTCAGTGCTAAGTGTACTGATAATAGGAAAACTTTGTTTGACATGGTCCGATTCAATAACCGATTGTGAAAGTCAAAGATCGATATCGTAATTTTGTTGAAAAATGTAAAAAATATCACAGTTGTTGATTGCATTTCTTGCTTGAATAAAACAAGACTGAATCTGCTGTTCATCACTGCTTTATGTAATTTCTGCTTAAAACCATGTTGGCATTCAAGTGCTGTGAAACAAGACTCACATTACAATGTTGGTACTCAAGTGCTGTGAAACAGGAGTCACATTACAATGTTGGTATTCAAGTGCTGTGAAACAGGAGTCACATTACAATGTTGGTATTCAAGTGCTGTGAAACAGGAGTCACATTACAATGTTGGTGTTCAAGTGCAGTGAAACATGAGTCACATTACAATGTTGGTATTCAAGTGCTGTGAACCAAGACTCACATTACAATGTTGGTATTCAAGCGCTGTGAAACAAGACTCACATTACAATGTTGGCATTCAATTGCTGTGAAACAAGACTCACATTACAATGTTGGTATTCAAGCGCTGTGAAACAAGACTCACATTACAATGTTGGCATTCAAGTGCTGTGAAACAAGACTCACATTACAATGATGGTATTCAAGTGCTGTGAAACAAGACTCAATTACAATGTTGGTACTCAAGTGCTGTGAAACAGGAGTCACATTACAATGTTGGTATTCAAGTGCTGTGAACCAAGACTCACATTACAATGTTGGTATTCAAGCGCTGTGAAACAAGACTCACATTACAATGTTGGCATTCAAGTGCTGTGAAACAAGCCTCACATTACAATGTTGGTATTCAAGTGCTGTGAACCAAGACTCACATTACAATGTTGGTATTCAAGCGCTGTGAAACAAGACTCACATTACAATGTTGGTACTCAAGTGCTGTGAAACAGGAGTCACATTACAATGTTGGTGTTCAAGTGCTGTGAAACATGACTCACATTACAACGTTGGTATTCAAGTGCTGTGAAACATGACTCACCTTACAATGTTGGTATTCAAGTGCTGTGAAACAATACTCACATTACAATGTTGGCATTCAAGTGCTGTGAAACAAGACTCACATTACAGTGTTGGTATTCAAGTGCTGTGAAACATGACTCACCTTACAATGTTGGTATTCAAGTGCTGTGAAACAATACTCACATTACAATGTTGGCATTCAAGTGCTGTGAAACAAGACTCACATTCCAATGTTGGTATTCAAGTGCTGTGAAACAAGACTCAATTACAATGTTGGTATTCGAGTGCTGTGAAACAAGACTCAAATTACAATGTTGGTATTCAAGTGCTGTGAACCAAGACTCACATTACAATGTTGGTATTCAAGTGCTGTGAAACAAGACTCAATTACAATGTTGGTATTCAAGTGCTGTGAAACAAGACTCAAATTACAATGTTGGTATTCAAGTGCTGTGAAACATGAGTCACATTACAATGTTGGTATTCAAGTGCAGTGAAACATGAGTCACATTACATAATCATTGTTTGGTTTATCCAAACAATTTTTTCCAAGAAACAAAATGCTGGGATTAATGAAGTTTGTATACTGTTACAATGTACCATTGTTACTTACGGCAGATGCATATGTAAACTTTGCTATCGTCTTCTGATGATCAAATGGCTACAAAAGAAGACAGTGCAAATTTAATTTCAGCATTATCATATTTATTCATAATTCAAATATATCATGATTACTTCAATAAACCCTTTTTTCATACTTGTAAGGTCTTTGATCCCCTCAATCATATGGTCACCTCACAAAGCTGAACAAAGTTAATAAATGTGAGTGTGAAGTTTAAAGGTTGAAACAAGTAGATATACAGATATAATTTAGGACCTTTGGCATTGGAGTGAAGGTCAAGATGACCTAAATACAGTGTAGTGCACTTCTCTTGAGGGTGATGACACTCACTACAAGTTTCAGCAAAACATCTTTAACCTGGACAAGATTTCAATAAAACTATATTTTCTTATTTGACCTTTGACTTTTGACCTTGTGGTGAGGGTCATGGTGATCTAATCATGCTGCTCTGCACATCCTCTGTGGGTGATGCAGGTGAACTTAAAAGTTTCATCACACCTTTTATTGTCCAAAAGAAGTGTTTAAAGAAAAGACATTTTTCTACTTATTTGACCATTCACCTATACATTTTTTTAAATAGAAGTCAATGTAACCTAAAGACAACACACTGAAAATATTCTGTGGGTGAATGCAGGTACCACTTATTGTTTCATTAAGATATCTTTAATGCTGGTTTACAATTTAGTCTGGATACTGGTTAAGTTTTTCCTTAGAAGTAGAATGATAAAAAGCAGGCCTATTGGCTTCACCTGAACTTGCAGAGGTGTTACAAAGACCAAGACATGTGAAATACTTACAGCAACCTGGTGGTGAACCTGGTTTGTTCTGATTTCCTCGTCACCGATAACAATGGGAATATCCTCCACATGGTTCTGATATTTTGCGAGGCATGCGTCTAGTTCCTTCTTTTCTTTGCTGCCTGGCGCATACTCAGGCATAGGCTCATTGACAGCCACATATGGTTCGGGGTAGGATGACAGACAGCGACACGAAGTAGCACTATAAAAAAATTATCAACTGTATCAAATTTCTTTTTTATAAAGGATGAAGTTGCAATTGCAAATTGAGATTTAAAGCTAAAAAAAAATCAAACACTCTATATAAAGGTTTTTATGGAATAAGCATTGGGCATCGTAAAACAAAAACAAGAGGCCAATTCAATAGGGCCTAAACAAAATTTGTCATAACAATGAATACAACCATGCAACTAGGATTGGTCTTAGAACCTATGCTAATCCCTATGCATTTTTTCCTTCCAATGTTCAACTTAAATGTCCCGTTCCCATGTCCATTATTTTTTGCATCAAGTTAACAATTGAAATTCTCCAGCAAATATTGTTAACTTGTCAACTGTTCGAGGAAGTGTCCAGGCTTCACTGACTATATGAAGCTTTATAATGCTTAGTTTAGTTTGGTTAATTAGTATTGTTCAACGTCCTATCAACAGCTATGGTCATTTAAGGATGGCCTCCCCTGTGTGCAATGTGCATGCGTCTAGTGTATGTGTGTGTGTTCTGGGAGGCTGCGATATGTTCGTGTTTGTCTCCTTGTGATAGCGCAGAACTGATGGTAACTTTATAGTGCTACCTCATTGAAACATACTGCCGAAGACACCCAGGAGGACACATTATACTGACAAGGGGGAACCAGTCGTCCCACTCCTAAATTGCTGAGCCTTAAGCAGGAGTGGAAACTACCATTTTTACAGACTCTTGTATGTCTCAGCCAGAGGACAGAACCCAAAGCCTTCCTCACAGGGGCGAATTAATGCTCAACTAAAGACCAAAAGTGAGGCATTGTCAAGGGAGACATTAGGAAGAAGAAAGTTGATTAGAAAGAAGAGAAAATGCACACTAAAGCTTTCCTGTAATATATGAAGAAACAACATCTAACTTTTCATAAACGTTTGTCTTCCAATTAAGGAATAAGGACCCTCCCCCTGGTTATGGCGAATATATGTGCCGCCGCCCAGTGCCCATAGTACATGAAGTTTCAAGCAGTCTACTGTGTGCAATTAAGCATGAGTTTACACTACATACTACTATTACATAAGAGGCTGCTGTTCTGCCTTTTTTCTATCCGATATGATTTTGCCGACTGCAACATTAATCTGCGTTATTAATTTGATCGTCAGCATAGGGAAAATCAGCTATGGGCAGTCAATGGTTACACGGTGCCTCTAACCTCTAACACTGTTGGAGTAGATAGAGTTTAATTACACATGTTAAGTCCAGTGCACTCGATCCTCCAAGCAATTTGTTTTCATCATTCCTAGTGGTGGCAGAAAAGTGGAAAGATTTCTGATTAAGGGTTAGTTATATATATATATTGATCCCTTCAATGTTGTTAAATTACAGTCTGTACACAATGTTAAGTTAAGATTATAGTTTTCTCGAACATCCAGCATTGTAAATGTATATCTTTAAAACATTAACTGCATGCATATATATGTGTGTCAAAGATGTGCATTGATTAGGTTGCCTTACAAGCATCAGCTGTAGGGGATTTCCCTTTAGCTCAGTGGTGGAGCATTATTGAGCTGGAGAGCCATATATATGAACAAATTGTGGGTTCGAGTCTCAGCGACGACACTATCTTTATCACTATTCCTCGTCCTACTTAACATGTGTATCTTGCATCAATTAGACTTTTATAGATTCATAAACAGTTCACACAATTTTGTTTTGCAGGTATTAAGGTTCTTCATGATTGAGATTAGCAGGTGCCCCATAGAACAGCTAAAACATGCATTTGACGCAAGCATATTTAATGCCAGTTATCAGCTGTCGAACATATGTATTTTATGTCAGACTAAAAGCGCATATAATATGACATTGTTGGACGCATTTTTCATTGGCACATCGTATGGCATGTCGATATGCATGAAAACTGGGCCTTAGTTAGTCTAAGTTATGCCATGACATCAACAGAGGCCTGAAAGGTCAAGATCATGCACCGATAAATGTGTGCTTACACCATGGCAGTTATCAAATTAGGTTGATCCCAATGCAAAAATATATCATGAATAAATACTCACCATCGCGGGAAAATCCTTGCAAATCTTGAAACGGAATGCATTACTACAGTTCGTGATGTTAAGCAATACACTGTTGTGTGCCTACTGTGGTAGCCAAAATTTAACACATGTATGTGTTTGGCATTGGGTCAACGTGTGCAAATCCGCTGTAAAAACAAGTCCCTTTATTAAAATGGATGTATTAACAGAATGGAGTAAATAATTTACGGTAATTACCATAATATGAACATTTAATTATAATGCATGAACTTTCTTGGTTACAAATAATGTAAATTTGTATTTTTAATAACATATGGGCATATTTACTTTAAAATATATCTACGCACCATTTAGGAGGTGTGTAATCTATTAGCCAATCAAAATAGTGATTACATCCTAACTTGAACCCAATCAAATGTAGTATAACAATCAACTTTCACTTTGATTGAGGCACTGGATACGAAACACAGGGCTTAAAATTTAATGATAAGAAGATCGATTAGTTAGCCGTATGACGTTACAACAACAACATTTAACATGTAAGCCAATGTGAATACATGCCAACGTCATTATCAGAAGGGGAGAAATGTTGTGACTGTGTAGGTATTAGTATCAACGCTTCATATTGACGATGCAGTAACGTTATTCCAAAGTAACTGTCAAAACAGTACTACTAGTACTGTAGTCCAACTGTTGAGTTTACTAGAACAAATGGTATCTACTATATCAGTCACAAACAAAACAATAACATTTTTCATAGCCAAATGTCCTTTGTTCTGTTTGATTGGTTTCAGAATGAAATACTGTTTCAGTAGGTACTAGCTTATATCCTCGTCTGTCGATACACATACAGTGTATAATATAATGTGTATTGACAGACGAGGCTAGTACCCGTGATTATATGATACCCATAATGTTTATATAGGTTAGTACATGATCATATAATTGAGATCAGCCGTGAAGTGATAGGTGCTTTTTTAAAACAGGTAAACATGCATATAACCCTAGCTTTACTTCAGGTTATCAATCATCTCTTGCAATCATCTCTAAAAGCAACATTTATCTACATCTATATAATATCTTACTTCAGAAAAACTAAACGAATTTGATATGGTACACAACAAGTTAATGTAGATACATATAGATGTAGGTTCATCTGTCAAATACATGTACACTATACATAAAGTCTATTGCCTTTGTACTACTTAAAGATCTGAGATTTGTCTATTTATCATTGAATCTTACTGTTCGCACTGTTCTTCCATCGTTGTAAGTCTTCGACTTGTGAGACTGTCCTATATCTTGTTGTCATCAATACTTTATGGTATGCGCATATTTGTTGGTGACAAGTTTTAAGAGTTAAAAGTTCGTTCACACTAACTTAGTGTGTTTATTATATTTTTTGTACAGTTAAAATTCCTGATATATATGCAGACGTGTTTGGTAGCGAAACAATTTCACTAACCTGCTGTCAGCAACATTAACTGCTGATAAGCACGTGACTTTAATGTTCATTTTTCCAAGGTTAAGGCTGTTGAAGATAGCAAATAATGTTACTACCCTTCCATTGTCCGTTTCTATCCACTATGTACACTAGGGTAAGCGACACCTTCTGGAATTCAAGAAGTCTCCACGCTCTATTTGAATTTGAATGCGGTTTGATCATACTCGTCTCTTACTTCTCTATGGGTATTTAAGCCGGTTCTCTAAACACTACAATTATTGATTTGTGGAATATTCATAACTTCATTATGCCGGTTAAGTTTCATTAATACCCCCAATAACTATTATTGTTGCATTTGTTAAAATTAGCGATACAGTATCACTAAATTATAACGTATGCTTACCTATGAGTTATTTATCTTTCTGGAGCTAATAACAATCAGGTGTGAATTTAATAGGCAGGTTTCTCCAGTGGTCATTCAGTCTGGATTTAAAAATGTTCAGACTTCCTGCAGTCACTACCAAGCTTGTCAGGTTATTCCAATCATTCACAATTCTGTTGGAGAAGCATTTTTTCCTACAGTTTATCCTACTCCTTACTTTTTTCAGCTTCCACTGAAGTGATGCTCATATGTTTCATAATTTCTACTTACCTGAAAAAGATACAGATAAGCTTATTACCAGGCATGTTTTTTTTGGCCAGATATAGCAAAATTTAATATGCTTTCACCTTTGAATTAAGCTGAATCCCCTATTCAGCTTAATTCAAAGGTGAAAGCAGGTTGATTATAGCAGGAGTCTCCATCATCCAACATATTGAGGTTTTGCATGTAATTCAAAAAAAAAAATATCTTGTTTGTTTCAGAATTTTTACAGAACCAGAAATGTTTAAAAAAAAATGTATATGACTTTATTTTCAGAATGAGTGCTTATCTACAGCTGGATATCTAAAATGTTCAGCAGTGCTCGTGCGACACCTGAAATTGGGACTAGGAGACTGCTCAAAGGTGGCAGTACAAAGTTTCTGTTGCCTGAAACATCAGACAAACTGCAATTCAAGAAAAATGTTTTGATTGGTTATAGCGATGTGTCAGTGGCTGGAAGGTAAACAATTTGTACAGATTGAATGAAGACATTTTTATCATAGAGCAGATATGAACAGTTTCAGCCTTTTACATATTTTCACGTGTTTTTTTTTAAGAATTTATAATCATAAAGTGTTATGCAAACTATTAATTTGTAAAAAAAAAAGGAACAAAACAATTTTCAGTTTGTTTGCCTGTGAGTTCAATTTCATCCCTGATAAATCAATCATCATTGTCTTTGGGCATCATATCCAGCAGTAGAGAATTTAACTTATTCAAAGGGTTGTTGTTCGACTCTGCCATTCATGCATCTTTGAAACTCCAGGGGTTACGCTCACTTTCACTCTCTGCACCCCTGGAACGCATCATTTTTAAAGCAAAATTGAAAACATGCAGCTAGCTACATGTAATTGATTGATCGCAGGTTATAAAAACTTGGCAAATCACTACAGGATAATTCCTGTCCTTTGAAAATTACAGAGAAGCGACACCTTATACTATGACCACAGGTGCAGAGAGTGAAAGTGAATGCTACCCATGGAGAATAGAGGATCCATTACAGAAATATTCAGTCTCTGGCACACTATTGCTGCGATATCGCCGCATGTTCAGATTTCATATTCAAATTAGGTCTCTGGTGATGTTGTGGCATACTCATTCCAATACTCTAAAAGCCTCACTAGGTTCTGGTGCGTTTGCGCCGTTATCGGCAGAATGTCACCAGAATGTCCTGGTGCCTTTGTGGCGAAATCACCAGAATGTCACCAGAATGTTCTGGTGCACTTGTGGTGATATAGCTGGAATGTTCCAGTGCACTTACGGTGATATCGCCACAGGCTAGGGTTCTGGTGATATTGTGACTCACCCACTCTGCATGTGTTGGCAAGCAAGATTGGGATTCCCACAAATAAATATATGACAATATTGCAACAGGGTTGTGGAGTACATATAGTTTAGATAATAATTAATTCATAGCTTATATTGATCAGAGATTGGTTACAAAGTTCAACACATATATATGGATTATTTCACAATGTGATATTCATTAATAGTAGTTATCAATATATGTCATTTATGTTGTATCCTTGACTTATCTCCCTTTAACAGTCGAGCCCTGCTTGGCCTCAATATGCGAGTAGAATATGAAGTTCTTCCCGTTCCACAGATGAGTGGTTGTACCCCCTTGTGTGAGAGGTCAGAAGCCCCTGGGGTTAAGGAGCAGCACTTTCAGCCCCTACAGGTTCTACAGTGCAAATATGAGGAGGTAAATTTCTGTACATTTTCTTCAGGTTGGTAAGTATGGATTATGAAAAGTTCTTTTTACACAACCAATACAATTTTCTATGTGACGTTTGAATGACTAGTTCGATATGTACACTGACACCTTCATCAGACAAATGACCAGTGAAACGTATGCACACAAAGGTGTTAAATGTGTACGAGTTGTCCACAAAATTGATGTCGATTTCAGCTGCGCTGTAAGTATATATACAGTCAGTGTCAGTGTACATATCGTACTAGTCATCAAAATGTCACAAAGAAAATTTTATTGGTTGTGTAAAAAGAACTTTTTATAATGAGGAGGTAAATCATGTTTATAATGCAAATTTATATTAGCTGTGGTTATGAAAGAATATTTTATGCAACTACAACTTAATTAAGAAAATGTTTTCTGATGAAGTGTTAGAAGAAGATCCATAAAGCCTTAAAAATGCCATGAATTTGAAGGGTTCACCTAAAAGTGACTCAAATTGACAGTTTTAGCACTGAAAACCCTAAATTTTATGACGCATATCAGAAAAGCACTAAATTATAAAAAAAGTGTCCAAAAAATACTGAAGAGAAATCTGTAATATCAAAGTTTTACTTTATACACAAACAATGTATGTATCAAAGGTGTCACAATGTTTCAAGACCGACTGGTCCCTTTGTCAAGCTATGTTGCGACAAAAAGTACAACTTTGATGTTACAGATTTGCAAACTGATGAACCGTTTTTGAAAATGTCAGAAATCTGTGTTAATGAACCCTATATCAATTTCTCTGGAAAAGAGTTGAAGAAATATTGTTGGATGGGGTGGGGTAGGTGGTGTTCCAAAGAATATTTGATAAAAACTTCAGAATAGATATTTTAAAACTATGTTATACTGAGATCCATGAGAAAAGAAGAGATGCATTAACTCATTCACCCCTGGAGACACATTTGAACTCTTCCAATTCAACGGTTGGGATATTTCATTATGAAACTTCAGGGGTGAATGAGTTAATCAAATATGGAAATGTTTAACTGTTACACAAAATAGTCTGTAAAACCCTTTTCCTTTGTTTTTAGATCCTTGTTCGAGTTTAACGAAGCTTTAGATATTTTACAGCTGAATGTTTTATAATACACATCAGGGGTTTCAATGAAATTTCAGTTTGTGTGTATTCAACACAAAGTAGGCGGCTAGTAACAGTAAACTTCATAAAACCTCCTTACCATTCTTCTAAATTTTACATGAAAGTGTCTGGTGAATTATCTCTGGTAGGATGGAGGGTATTTTGACCAGCTACAAATGAAACCTCTGACACATGTAACGTCAACCAACAGACACTGTACAGTATGTTCGTTAGATAATTTATCAGTTTTGTCATGATAATATTGATCATTTAATCTCATGTTAAAAAATTTGTAGCATCTCTACTTTCGGATTTAGGACCTCTTGTCTAAAATAGCAACACTTTCTTGCAGTAGTTTAATAAATGATGGAATTAACACAAAATTATTGGACTTATTAATCGATCATGTATAGGTTGGGTCTTTTAGAAGGAAACTGGTACAGAATAGTACAAATAAATAATCTTCTGTCATATGTTTATAGTTTCATTGGATGTTTCACTTTTTGAATGAGGTTAGAAAATTAGGTTAGATAGAACTCTCTAGATCATGGCATTAATTTCCACATAAAATATAGGTAGTTATTAGAATATGTATGTAATGTAAGTGCTTAATATCATGTAGGTAACTCTTTATTAGGTATACTATTTTTAGTTAAATGCTTTTTCCCATTCGTGTATACATTAATGTATATGCACTACCTGTTCCTATGGTGATTGATGCTTGAAGTTTTCACTCATGGACCAATATTCTACAGTATTTTTTTCTCCACTTTCTGTTTATGTTGAGTTAATAAAAATTTATGAGTATGTGATTAAAACTTTTTACCAGGAAAACATATAATCTTAGATAAATGATGAATGCCATGTATGCTAAAAATAAAGACTTTTAGTACGCCCGTCGAAAGAAGGGATGTATAATCTTATCACGTGAGTGAGCAGGTAGATGTGTGCACACTGTCTACATGATATCTCAAGTAATTTTCAACAGATTAACATCAACCTTCATAAGACGTTTAATTACTGTGAGAGCTCTGACAAATTCGTTAACCACCATAATCGGACTGTAGGTGAGTTATGCCCCTTTAATCAATTGCTGAAACCGTGTCTGCTCGATATCTCGAGGAATGTTCAACAGATTAATTTTTAACTTCATGGGAAGGTACATGAAAGCTTGGAGGTGTTTGATAACCACTGTTATTTGACAGTAATTTACGGAGTTGTGTGGAAACAAACCCTTGACATATTCGTGAGAGACAAATGCCATATCCACTGCACCACAAACCATCCTATATTAATAATATAAAATAAATTTACAGAGATAATTTTCAAAATATTTTCCAGTAGTAAATTTGATGTTTTGAAAAATACCTTTATTTACACCAAGACAGAATTGACCAAAAGCAGTGTATTGAAACTTAGTATGCTACTTTAATTCTGAAAATTGGTCCATGTGTAGTCTAAAAACATGCCAAAAATAGCAGCATTAGGAATTTCTGTAAGAGTACAGTTAAGTATGCAGATGTTGTATTTGAGAGTAGTGCAGCGCTTTGTTTTAACATTGTATACAACCAATATGTCTCCACCTTACACAGGCTGTCGAGCAGAACAGGTAAGATCTAAGCATTCTTTATGATTGTTAATAAGTTAATAATCTCTCTGCTGCTTATCTGTTTAAAATTAATCACAAATATTTGTTCTGTGGTGAAAATTTTGCCGGTGAACGCAACCACTAAGTGTGTAAATTGTTTTCAACAAACTGTTTCTATCTGGATTCTAGCTACTGGGTTTTAGATATTATGCATTTCACATGATGGGAGCAAGTGCTTTGTGGTTTTGTTGTCACTATACCCAAGTTGACAATGTGAGAACATGACACTACTTGGATCGACTTAGATTTACATGGTGTCATTGATGAAGTAGAAGACGCTTACCCTTCTGGAACACCTGGTCTTATTTATCTTTTACTTTTTCAAGTTTGAGTTCAAATTATGGTTTTGTTGACCCTTTGGTTATTGTTTTTTCCAGTAAACAATGATTATCTGAAATCTGTTACTAAGAAACACTGGTGTGCAGTCCCGTCTGTATGTCTGATAAGCACATGCAAGTCAGCAGGTCTCCCTTAAATGACAGATGTGAAATTTCAGCCTTTTCTATCCATTTACTAATTTTTCACTTTGACGAAGCTGGCTCACTACTGATTTACCATCATACAGGAAAGCAACATGTCCTCCAAATGTAACATGTGAAAACCAAATCACATGACTTTTGTCCCAGAAACATTTATCTTGGAAACAACATATTAAAAATTTACTTGGATTTTGAATTGTTGGTTTCTTACAAAATTGTGCAATTAAGTATCTACAAACAAAAAAATATATTAAATGAAATTAAGATTAAATTAAACAGAAGCAGTTTAGAGAGGGAATTCTGATGCATGCTTATATACACATGCATAGCTGCGGAAACCATGTAGCTCTATAGTCTGACATTTTATTTTTATTTTGAAATTATAAATATTTCATTTTGAAATGGTCATGGTTCGATAATGTAAATTTTCAAAATGAAATATCTTAAATTTCTAAATAAACTGTAAAATCAATTTGATCAGTTGCCTAGAGCTATACAGTTCCCGCATCTAGCTTATACATAGGTATGTTTGCTTGGGTGATCAGTTAGATGTTTGGTGATGGTGACAAGAAATTGTAGGATTCTTGTATTGCATGGCTTTATTGAGCTATCATTATGTAATATAATCTGTCACTTAGTTCCTGACATCAGTATGAACCATAAGTACTGTATAACTCAAAATTTTCTGTGGAGTTATCTCCCTTACATGACATTAAATTCAATATTCACAAGTTTTCTTGAGACTATTTTAAACTTTGCTTTTTAACATTAGTCTAATAGTCTTAAACTTATGAGTACTTATCCAAGTTCAATGACTTTGAAAGTTAGTATCTATCAAAGAGTTTGTAAATGTGAAAAAGGCAAGAAAGAAGTTATATGCATCTACAAATGTTTTGAGTTATACAGTGTACATAGCATGCATGTAAAATTGCTTGGTGCATGATTATGAAACTGTCCTATTTGCTTACAACAATGCTTTGGTAGAGGATCTAATGTCATTAAACCATTAATACTCTGCATGCTATAAAGGAGCTTCTGTATAATTAACACTAATTAAAGTAATTTGCAAATTCATGTTAAAAACACGAAATTTATATGAAAAATTTAAACCCAAATTGTAATGTCCAGGCTACTGTCCAAAATATCAAGCATAATTATTTATACTATTTGTACATTCAAGGTATATCTGAGACATCGTTGACTGTAGGGTGGACTAGCTTCCAGACCCTAATTTTTTATGAGGAATATATTCCCAGCTGCATTTTACTACTAGCTTATCTCCCCCTTGTTTGAGAATTTTAAGATTCAGACAGCACAGTGATCAAAATCATTAGAGTTTATTTTAAAAAAAATGATACAATAGAGACGAGGGCCAGTCTAACTAGGTTTTAATGTCTGGTTTTGTTTTGTGATGGATAAGTAACTTGACTTTCCTTGGACCAATTTAACTCCAAATTTGTACAATATTTCTGTACTGGAAGGGGCTTGCTTGGAATTGCTTTTCAGGTCCAAAGATCATGAAAAGGTCAAACCTTCAATAAAAACGAAACCAATTTTGTTTCTGTGGGCTGATTGAGCTCAAACTTTATTCACTGCTTCTATGCTAAAAGTGCTAACTTGTGATTGCTTTCAAGATTGAAGGTCAGATTATGTTACCACAAATAAAAAAAATCACTTAAATATTACTGTATATGCATGATTTACACATTAATATTTGAATATCGTCAAACTATTCATGTACATAATTTGTAAACTGAATGTAAAATGGTACCCATTTGAATGACGACAAGGTGATCATGACGTCACGGAGAAGCACCAGGAAATGGCAACAATTATTTGGAAGACATTCAAGTTTAACATCTGATTAACAGTGTCGAGGAGAATTAAAAATCATGGTCTTTCATTGTTTGACAATAATATTTCTTATATTTATTTCAGATATAAAGGATTTTTATTAATTTCCAGCGTTGAAGAAGTTCTGAACTTTTCCAGAAACACCATCAATTTAGTTTAGCAACTATCACTTGTCTGACTTTTTCTGTGATAGCGCATTTAATTTATTTATGCAGAGATAAAAATTATGGTTATGTACATGTCGAGGCAAGGTAAATCCTGAAACACAATCATTTGGAAGTAGATCAATTTTCTACCACACAAAGAATTTACCACTTGGTGCTGGTTAACTCTGTTCATCGGTTAGGGATTTTATCAAACCTATTAGAATGGAATTATTTGTTTATATATCATACAGTTCTTATGATAACAATGCTTTTTAAATTAACAGTAACTAATCTTTAATTTAAACCTTATAATGAAGTTGAATTATATAGCTAGGGATGGCGCCGTCTTCCAGCAACCTATAGTTTTAAGATCTTTAAAATTTCAAATGTATTAAATATATTAAGAGTAAATCAAATAATGTGTTTATGCCACCTGTATTTACAGCAGATAGAGATACATTCGTTGTAATTTGACAATTTAAAAAAGAACAATGTTTTGATATACAGGCGAACTTCAATGTTTCGATCTTTGCGGAACCATCAAGAAAAATTTGAAACATGATTAACTCATGAATGTTTAACTTCGAACATCTTTGAGATCCTATATATACTGCATCAAATCAAATGCGATTCACCGATTGTTAAGTGTCAGTATACACAGCAAGAAGTTTAATTTGAAATCTGTAAACACTGGCCGATTAAATGTAATTAGAAAAATATGTTCAATGTGTAAATTTACACTGTAGTTTGCATGTTATGATGTTAAAATGACCCCTAGTATTTTACCAGGGTGACATGTGTTGTTATTACAGCAATACAGAGTTGTGATATTTATATTTAATATGAGCTTGTGACCTTGTTTAAATTAGTGTAGCTGTACTGTGTTATCTCCCTTGCAGTATTCCTGTGTGATTATAAACACCATTGTGCCGGCAGACAAGTGCCAACATGTGGCCAACAAAATCATAGATCTGTGTATCGAAAGGTGAGCTCTGATTTTCATCAATCTTTTTATCTCCATGTTCAATATCTTCATATTGAACTTCCATCACCTAAAGTCCCTACCAGATTTTGGTATATTAATAGACCTGCAGATTCAAGCACAAATCTGATCATTGAGGAAGCAAATGATATTGCATCCCCTAAAGAACTGGAGTTTCCTTCAGAGTAAATGAACTGTTCAGAAACACAACAAGCGTCATTTTCCGTTGCTGTCATTCAATATATGATACATCTACTTGGCAATATCTTTCTATATTTTAAGGCTAAAAAATAAAATGTGTTCATCACAATGTGGTATTAAAATATTGTTGTAGCCCTAATAATTATTGTATTAATTACGATTTATCTATTTGTCATTTCTCTATAACAGCAAGGTGAAGAAGGTGATTTTGTTGACGACTCTGAAACTTGATAAGATACCAGACCACCAGCTGAAACCTTTGTATGAAAGTACCTTCAACACGAAACCAGGTATAAACTTTTCACATTTCCTATGGTCCTTGACCAAAATATAAATCCTGAAGATCTCTGCTTCAATCAATATACAGAGCTGTACAAATCATTGAGATAGTCTAGCTTTGTTCTCCTAATATAGCCAATTTCCCCCTATACGATTTTAAAATACGGAAAATTGGAATAATGCCATTTTAATTTCTGAGTTTTACATTGCCAAGTTGTATATCATTATCAACTGATGTGAAAAACAAGAAAAGGTGTTGATTTTTAGAGTTCAATGTTCATCAAAATCTGTACATGATTAATTAGCATATTGCATTTTGATTGGTTAATGCATAATCATTTACTTCTATTAATTTAACCATTTAAAGACTTATCACGATTTAGAAAAATAAATTGCTGAAAATAAGAACAGTAGGACTTGACTTTCCAATATTAGCAGTCATCCCATCAAAGTCATAAATAATTATTGTACAAATAATAATAAATTACCAATTGATGAATCGATGACCAATGCTTAGCTTTAATTGCTAAAGGACTCCCACAACTAATTTACTATATGTTATTACATTTGTGCTAATAGCTTTAATATTTGAAGTTGAACACTATAGTGACAACTGTCTAAATTCATTGATACATATATATCTGACAAAGGCTTCAAAAGGATTTTTTCAGGTTAAATGATATTTTAGAGCGCTACAGGTTGCTACTTTTGACAACTGCAAGTTTACAAGCCAAACCGGTGAAGCGGAATGGGAACACCTCCTACCTTTTGACCCCGTATCAATCTGCCATCACATATTCAGATCTACTAAAACCACCTTTTTCGAAAGTTGGATATCTGTAGATTTCATTAAAGGAAAAATCTGTCAAAAAGTACATATTTAAATAACACAGAGACATTGTGTTTAACCAATTTTTGTTTAAGATAGGGATTACAATCGTATGAAACACTTGCTGATTGGCTGATTTACTAGTGTGAGGCCTGAATGATTCCTCGCCAGTAACAGGTAGTTTCATGTTTTTCAGTCACATCCAAACCAGCCCTACCACCAGATACCAAGATTTGTGATCCCCTGTTAAGCACCCTTATCCAGATGATACAGGTATAATTCCTTATTTATACTACAACAAGCCCAAGTTGCCAATTAACAAGTTATTTCCGACTCATTGAAGGGAGGTTTCCTTATTACAAGACAATGAAATGACTTTAGTTTGTATTTCTGCTGAGATTCAATGGATATGAATGAGCTTATTTCTGGATAAGTACGTTAACTGGTGTAATGATCTATTTTCATCAGCTTATGCCCAATGACTGAAGTCAATTGGTATATGTATATACTTATATTAAATTTTTGACTTTTTTGAAATTTATACATTTCTATCAATCTCGATGAATCAGACCTTGATCTTTGGAAAAAATGCAAAGGTCAGATATTTTTCAAGAAATTTGTTCAAATCATTTTGGTTCTTACGTTAAGGTAGTTGAATTAGTCCCTCACCAGTTACCAGGGGGAACTATAGGTTTGCACTCTGTCCGTCCTTCTGTCCAGAACATATCTTCTATATACGGTTTCACCTTGAGTGACCAGATTTGGTGTACAAGGACATCTTGGGATGGCAGAGTGCAAGAAGAAGATATAAACTATGACCTTTGAATTGACTTTTGACCTTTACTTTTGAAAAAGTTTGTCTGGGGCATATCTTCTATACTATTTCACCTGGAGTAACCAGATTTGGTGTACAAGGACATCTTGGGATGGTTGAGTGCTAGCAGTAGGCCACTATGACCTCACTGTGACCCATGCTTTGACCTTACCTTTAACAAAACAATTATGTCTTGAATGTTGTAAATATGTATCAGGATACTTTCCTATCAGTGGGTACATCCTGACATAAGTGTACTGTTTGTTAAATATACAAATTATTACTGGTGGGGGACTATGGATTGCCTCGTTATTTCATCATTGTTTTATCTTTTTTTTGTGTGTGAAAAAAAACCTTGTCCAGCTCAATTTATGCAACACACATATTTTCTTCAATTAAGAAAAGGTGAAACTTTGAAACCTGGCTTCCTTCTCAATGTAGCACTTTGTTTTTCAGATAGAGGCAATCCCCTGTAACTGTCTTACTGTACCAGGCCACAGAGCAATGGCGGGGAAAGCCAATATATATGATGAGTCACAACAGGTACATTTCATATGGCTTCAAAATTGCAATTTCTTTATGCAATCTTATTCTGATAAAATTCTTCATTACATTTATCTGTGATGCACTCCTCCGTAGGATATGGTACCTCAGAATCATGGGTTGTCTTCTGGTGAACTGAATGTCAGAATGTGACCAAGGTGCAGTATTTCCAGGTCCTACAGTAGACTAACACATAGAAACAGAGCAAAGGATTTAATTTAATTCAAATCAGATTGATTGATGCAAAAATATGAAATCGATATTAATAAACAATAATCTGTCTAACCTTAAAATTATATTTCTAATTCATTTGAGATGTAACAAGACATTTACTTGGTCAACCTAAATAATTTGCAACACTATAACAATGATATACCATCTGCCTCAAAATTTCTTATTTACATATGAAAACGGAATGGCAATTGTTAATGATGTCAGTGACCGTGAAACATCATGAAATTAATTATTAATAATGACACGAATAAAAGGGTGACCCCAAAAGGTCAATGTGATTTGATCTGCCTGACTTTGAATATTCACAACGTCACCAATCAACGGCAGAGAAATGTTGAAGGAAACACTCAAAAATATCTTAAAATCATTGTTTCCTTCGTTGGTTTTACCTGATATGAATTAAAATGGGGATAACTAAACTGTATTACGAAATTTGCGTCAGTATATCATGATTTTACTGTCACCAATTTCCACTTTACCAGTCCGATATGACTGGACAGTAAAACTCAATCCGCAACAATATAATCATGGATGATTGTAGCATGTCCACATAGAATAAATTGTGTATATTTGTGCACAAGTTACCTGCCCTTCTCGAAAACAAATCCATGATGGGTCAATAGCAAACCCTGCATGTGATGTTCTTGAGGGATATGCTGGCTCATACTTTTACAGTACTGAAATATGATTTGCAGTATACAGCAAGATTTAAAAGAAATGGACAGATGTTTGTTCATATTGAATAACTGTAAACCGGTTCTTTCTAGCTAGATCTGTTGCCAGTGGTTTGAACTGCAACATTTTACGAGTTGCTGTGGGTTACGGTCGTGTCGAGGTCAAATGTAAGTGGAGTCTGATCTGCGTTGCCATTGGAATGATCAATGTTGTGTTGCTCTCGTAGTTTCATGATGAAGTTCTGGAACTTGTTCAGTTTATCTTCAAAATCATCTGGCTGTCGCTGGGCCATGCTGGTCCCTCGTCTGACACCGAGTTGATGTCGTTTCATGAACAGGTAACACCAGTTCAATGACGCCTTGAATGTTGTGGATGGGTATTTCGTTTGTAGCAGGCAAGATGCTCAGAGTCTAATTTCTGTGCTGCTCACACCAAGTCCCTATTCTCTACTGTCGCAAATCCACTGGTATAAGTCGTGCTCCATCTCAGGGGGCCTTTCTTGTCTCTCTCGGTTGGCTCTCTTCTTATAGCTGGCATTAATACTAGCTGGTTTGTCTGCTTTCGCCAATTCCAGAGGTTGATTCGTCGATATTTAAACTGATGTCCCACAGCTTTGTTACCAAACCTCTCTGCATATTCGATAACTTCCAGCTTTTCTTGTGCTGTCCAGGAGCTGTACTTCTTTCCCATCCTATAGATTGGTAGTCGAGCTGTGGTAGTGGAGGTAGTGGAGGTAGTCAGTAGTGGAGGCAGAGAAAAAGTGTCTTGTGTCAGTTGGTAATGATATTTAAATAAACAAAGGACACTTAGCTCAGTGACCTCAATATTTGGCTAGCCAATCAGAATGCACAAGGTGACATTTGATTGGTCGGTGTTGTGAACTGTGGTAAGTGATGACACCCAAGCCGCCGTGATGAACCCTTAACCTCTCAATGATTGTTATTATGGTCATTAAAAGGTGTCTAATTATTTCTTTCATCAGGAGATATATATGCACCAACTGTTGCTACACATCAAATTACTTTAACATGTTTTTGTAAGCAAGTAAATGTTTTATGTAAATATAGCTAAAATAAATTTATGTATGCCGATATGCGCACACGCGTGTGTGATCAGATATTTCAAAGAAAACACGCGTGTGCTGTGCGATCAGATATTTCAAAGAAAACACGCGTGTGCTGTGCGATAAGATATTTCAAAGAATTAAAAGACGTGTGAGTGCTGTGCGATCAGATATTTCAAAGAAAAGAAACAACACAATACACATTTTTCGCAGTTTCTTCTTGGTTTTTAATATCATTGTTCTTAACAAGAAATATGAACTCGCTGATAATGAACAAATTAATAAAATACTACTAAATATATTTAAAAAATGATATCAAGCAGTTTGTCTTTCATTTTCAAAGATCCATTTTCGGCGCATTACTGGTCATAGTTTTTTTTCATATTTTTTGTTGCGCCAAATATAGGAGTAAAAGCTTCAATTTTCAAATTTTCAGCCTCAAAAAGTACATGAGTAAATAACATAGGTGCCCAAATTAAACAAGTTATTACGTACATGTCAAACAGATGAAATACATGTATATAGAAGAAAAATGCACATACCTGCTAAGAGACATTTGTTGTGAAAATAGCTCCATACATGTAGTTACCTGAAATAGAATATTTCAACATTTTCAGAGAGAAAAAGGAAAGAGTTACAGAGATGTTTTATCATATATTACAGGCAATTTTGACATTCCACAAAGTCTTGAAGAAATGGTCACATCTAGACTTCAGTGATGATATAAGCCTGTCTTTAGTAAGTATTTGGTATAGACTCATGTCATGCAAAGTCTATCACTCCTGTAGAATCACAGGCATTCTTCTTCCTCTGCATAATTGTAAGATTTTACTGTACTTATCTGGCAGTTAGCCCATGTCTGTTAATAAGCCCACCCGTGTGTATATATTGCAGTTCAGTAGGGATGTTAACATGTGCTGTTTTAAATTGTCCTGCTGTAATAAGCCAATCTCCCTCCTATAAGATTCAGATTATATTATTATTATGTATCCCCTTCGAATGAAGGGAGACATATTGTATTAGTACTGGTTCTTCTTTTTCTTCTTCTTCTTTTTCTTATTCTTATTCTTAATCAGACTTGAAGTATACCTGCATCACCCACAGAAGGTGTGCAGTGCACTGGAACTAGGTCTCGTGCCCCACTCACTAAATACAGAGTTATGACCCTTTGTTTAATTTTAATACCGAAGTTTATCCAGAGCATAAATTCTATGTTATTTCACCTACGTTGACCATACTTACCATATTGATGTATCATAGGAAGGTGGAATTTCTCGCACTAAAATCAGATTTTATGCCCCACTATATACAGAGTTATGGCCCTTTGTTTATTTTTAATACCGAAGTTTGTCCATGGCATATGTTCTAAACCATTAAAGATATCTTAATCAAACTTGAAGTATACCTGCATCGCTTACAGAAGGTGTGCAGTGCACTGGAATTAGGTCGTGCGTCACTATATACAGGTTATGGCCCTTTGTTTATTTTTAGTACCGAAGTTTGTCCACCGCATAACTTCAATGTTATTAGGGCCCCGCATCGAAGTTGCGGGTGCCCTATACTAATTCATCCGTCCGTCCGTCACAATCAAACAAGGTATCAACTGACCAAAGGTCAAGGTAACTGGGTCAAAGGTCAAGGTCAAATTTTGTATCTTTTCCCTGATGAACATTTTGTTATGACATTATGAAGCAAAGTTGGTTGGAATTTAATAAAGAGTCAACTGACTTAAGGTCAAGGTCACATGGTCAAAGGTAAAGGTCAAACTCAGTATCTTTTCACTGGGGAACATTTTGTTATGACACTTTGAAGCAAAGTTGGTCAGAATTAAACAAGGAGTTGGTTAACCAGAGGTCAAGGTCACTGGGTCAAAGGTGAAGGTTACTTTTTGTATCTTTTCACTGGTGAACATTTCGTTTTGACACTTTGAAGCAAAGTTGGTCAGAATTAAACAAGGAGTCATTTGACCAAAGGTCAAAGGTCACTTGGTCAAAGGTCGAGGTCAAATTTTGTACCTTTTCAGTGATGAACATTTTGTTATGACACTTTGAAGCAATGTTGGTCAGAATTAAACAAGGAGTCATTTGACCAAAGGTTAAGGTCACTTGTTTAAAGGTTAAGGTCAAATTCAGTATCTTTTCACTGGGGAACATTTTATTATGCCACTTTGAAGCAATGTTGGTCAGAATTAAACAAGGAGTCATTTGGTCAAGATCACTTGGTCAGAGGTCAAGGTCATTTATTTTTATTTTTTCACTGATAAACATTTTGTTATGACATTATGAAGCAAACTTGGTTGGAATTTAACAAGGAGTCAACTGACTTAAGGTCAAGGTCACTGCATCAATTTCAAGGTCAGATATTGTATCTTTTTACTGATGAACATTTTTTATATGTTATTATGAAGCAAAGTTGTTCAGAACTTAACACTGAGTCAACTGACCAAAGGTCAATGTTACGGGCTCCAAAGTTCAAGGTCAAGGTCAAGTTTTTTATTTCTCACTGATGAACATTTTGTTGTGATATAATGAAGCAAAGTTGGTCGGAATTGAAGAATGAGTCAACTGACTAAAGATCAGGGTCACTGGGTTAAAGGTCAAGGTCATTTGGGTCCAATGGTCAAAGACAAAGTGGATCTCTTACTTTGACCGTGGCTCTTGATGGAGGAGGTATTTAAGGTGAAATAAAACAAATCAAAGCTAACAAATGAGTATTGCACCGGTATTTACATTTCTGTTAGCCCAGCAAATATGGAAGTGGAAGGAAACAAGACTCACATCATAGTACATGTAAAATGTATATTTTGCTTCCTTGCGATTTTTTTTTTAAGTCCAAATGTCAAACGTCAATCTCAGCTATAGGGGCAGATTGCTTTTTGATGATTATGGGGGATATATTGCCACAAGACAAGCCCTTACTGACCTGTCAGTGTTCTCGTTTCACCTACGTTGACCAAACTTGCTAAAGTTTTAATGTATCTTGGTAAGTAGGAGTGTCAAATTATAAAATCGGGTCTTGTGCCCCACTATAAAAAGCGATATGGCCCCTTGTTAATTTTTTATACCGGAGTTTTTCTATTGGCTAAAAAGGGGAGACATATGTTTTTGTTCGCAAAACAAAATTCTAGTTTAAAAATGGCTAAGCTATATCCAACTGTATAGTTGTTTAAGTTGACTAATACGGGAACCTCAGCAGAATAGAGATTTTGTTCTGTGTCTCTTTTGGTGTAGACATAAAAAAAAGACCCGAACTGATCTACTTAACTCATTGCAATTCTTCAGGCTCTTAATGTTTTGGCAGCGTTTTTTTAGGCACGTGGATGACTGGCCATTTGTGATGCCATTCTGTGAGCTAGGGGTTGGAATGTATGAAAAACATTAAACTTTTAATTATTTTACAGCAGTTATAAAACAACTAATTTTAACATATATTAATCACTCATGTTGGCCTCGATGCTAGCGTGAAGGCAGTCTTAATGTGGGAGAAAAAACGAGAGTACCTTGAAAAAAATCAACATGATCGGGAAAGTTACCACATAACATTTTAGCGTACAATTGGGGAATCTATTCCTGGCCATTTTCCTGAAAGTGCGTTATCCACTGTGGCACCTGACCACCCTTGGTTTGAAATGTCATGCTGTACCATGTCCTTGTTTTGATGTATGAAATAGTTATTGAGTGGACCCACCATCTGTAGACACTGTGTTGTCCTAAATAAATTATAATAATGATCCTCAAACTCCGTATAGAATCTTCTGAAACTGATTTCTGATTGAATATTCTCACAAAAGCCAAGATTATATGAAAATGAGTGCCTGGGGATACACCCCCGAAAAGAAACAGAAAGGAAATGAGAAAAGAAGAACAAATATTGATCCAGAGTGCAGGAGGTATTCACATAAGTCGCCTCGTATGCCTATTCTTCCCCTAAACCTGTTGCTGTCAAAACGTCAGCTGATATTTATAATGAAATGATGCTCTCTTTAACAGGTATACAACAGTTTAGAAGTAGAAGACCAGTCAGCAATGTCAACACTCATGTACGGTTGATTCAAGATTGGAAAGCTTAATATTTAATTGCAGATAACTTGGATCATCATAAATTAAACTCACTTCAAATTACTCTGTCTTTCAAAAAGATTGATAATTTAGTTCCTAATTTAATGTCATTGATTATGGAACCTTTAACTTATGGTTCAGATGTGTCACATTTTTCAATGCATTAGTTTTTTATTACGCTGTCGTCCATCTGTCATCTTTTCAGTTAAAATAACTACTTGTCCAGAACTGCTGATTGAATTTTGACAAAATTTGTTCTGGGGACCAATTCAAGTTATGTATCAGGTTTCATCTTAGTTTAATAATGTTTTTAAAGTGAAATTTTGAAATAAAGTAAGTTAGAAAAACAGTTGTTGGTATCATTTCATAGAAATTGTTTTCAAGACAAATCTTTTAAATGTCAAGAACACAAAGGTTTTAATTGCAATTTTAGTTATAATAATAAGGAATATTTAAGAAATATATATTAGCGTTCACATTTTACCTTTAAAAATTATTTGGCTAATGGTGCTTCTTAAAAGTAGGGTTCGTTTGTTTACTTGTTTGTTTGGGGTTCAACATCCTCGCACCAGCTATGGTCATATTAGGAGAGATAAAACAGGAAAGAAAAATTACATTAGAAAGAATGTAGATAGGAAACGATAAAGATATCAGGTGTTGTAATGGGGACAGCAGATACGTTTTGGTCTCTTCAATGTCCTCTTCGAACTGTTGGCCAATATCCTTTAGAAGTCGATGGCCCTCTTAAGTCTATGCTTCTTATATAATACAATGTTCTAATATACATGTACGTTTGTACATATTTTAGTATTTTGGGTTTGCCTGGGATGTTGAATACGCATAGCAAGCAGTATTGAAGATGTTGCACAATACATATCAAAATCAGTTTGTTTATTGCTTCACGGCCCATAACGATGAAGTCATAACGGGCCTGACAACAATGATACGGATTCGGTTTTATTTTGTTTAACGTCCTATTAACAGCTTAGGTCATCTAAGGATATACCTTCATGTTTGTTATGTATGTTGTATCGAATCAAATCGAACCCGGGCCGCCTTGGTAGAAGGCAAGTGCGCTATCCACTGTGGCACCCGAGCACCCTTGGGTTGAAATGTCATGCTGTACCATGTCCTTAAGTAATTGTTTTGATGCGTGTTTGTGTGTATGTGTGCTGAGGACAGGGAATGGTGATGTATTTCAATAATAACGGACAATTACCAAAATCAAAAAGAATGGTAAGAGGTTTAAAACTGTTCACATATTATTGAAGAATTTTCAAAATTTCACCTCACCCAAATTATATGGTATAAATCAATTTCACACAGATATTCAAACATCTTTTAAAATTTATTGTGTGGCAATGCATTCACATCAGCCACATCATACTATTGGGCTGAATCTGTCTACATTCGTCACATTTGATAACTATGTGAGGCATAGTCATATGTTCGTTGTATAAATTGCAAAATGGCTGATCTTCTCGCAGAAGCAAGTACGCATGCGTATTATATGCATATCATGTGCTATGTCGTGAAAGGACGTCCTCCTCTCAACGGTCTTTCCTGAAAGGGATTTTGGAACCCATAGCAGGTTGACTTACAAAAAGAGTTTATTGTTGATATTATCTGACCATCTTTGTTGCTAGTTACATTGATGAAACAGGTAATAAAAGGTTTAAAATCAGGGTAAGGTATTGTTTGGTAAGTTGGTTGCAGGCTAAGTGCTGCTTTTGCACTTTTGTCGACCTCATCACTCGCGTATATACATTGCACACATGGAGACATGTAACCCCTGCAGTGGTTTGCTTTATTGTTCTCTACATGGGGACACAAAAGTGACCAAAATAAATCTGCTGCACCCATTGCAGTATTTGGTATCTTTATATTTCTTTCTACTTCTAACTACCTTTTATTTCATAGCGCATTGCATCCCAACATCTCACTTTTGGCTTTAATGGGGCACTTTGCCCAAGTGAGATAGGCGATGGGTTCTGTCCCCAGGCCAGGATATACCAAAGTCCTTTAAAATGGTAGTTGCTATTCCCTGCTTAACATTCAGCATTTAGGGGAATGACAACAACTGGTATGCCTGTTGTCAGTATAATGTGACATTGGGGAATGCTGTGCCGGGGGCATGGTATTTCAGTAAGACAGCACTATAAAGTCGGCATAAGATCGGCACTATCATAAGGAGGCAAATACACCGACATAACTGACTCCTGCACACCCACACACACAACACACATGAAGGCTCGTCATTAAATGACCTTAGCTGTTGATAGGACTTTAAATAAATAGAGAAACTGAGCGAGCTCTCAAAGATATATAACCGCTCGCGCCAACAATGTTTCTTGAGCAGATATTAAATTTTCAAGGGCCACATCTCCTGGCCTAATATTTGAAACTATAAATTCCTTTATTCACGCACATCTTCATACGATGTAATTTAACTGTATCAAGTTACATAAAAATCCAACAAACTGTTAAGGAGTTGCGCTTACAAGGTTTCTGGAGCAAAAATATTTAATGGCCACGAAAAAAAAGTTTGATAATCAAACTTTATTATGATGCACCCGTCAACCGGTTCAGATTCAAATCCCGAACAAGAGGCCCAGATGGCCTGTATCGCTCACCTGAATATCTAAGCAATCATGGCAAAATATTCTCCAAATGAGATCCAAGGGAATATGCCAGACCCCAATGCCAATTCTTGTAGTATGTATGTATTAGATTTTTCATGTCCAGCAATGTAATGCATGGTTATGGGGTGGGGATCTCAACTGTTTCTCAGAAACTAAATCCCTAGGGTTGTAGCCAGACCCCAGGGTCTATTCTAATATCATGACTGCATTTGTCTCTTTTTGCCCAGCACTATAAAGTCGGCATCAGTTCCGCGCTATTACAAGAAGACAAACACGAACATATCGCAGCCTCCCAAAATACACACACATACACTACACGCATGCATCTTGCACACAGGGGAGGCCGTCCTTAAATGACCTTAGCTGTTAATAGGACGTTAAACAAATCAAACAAACCCAGCATTTGTGTATATAGTTTTGGGGTGGGGATCTCAACCGTTTCAAAGTTATGACCAAGGGTTAAGTCTGCAAGGGTGGGGCAGACCCTGGGTTCAATTTTAATATCATGACTGCGTTCGTCTCTTTATGCCCAACAATTGTATATATAGTTTTGGGGTAGGGATCTTAACCATTTCGAAGTTATGACCCAGGGGGGTTAAGTCTCCAAGGGTGGGACTGTCCCCAGGCCATCCTGGAAGCATATGTGCATTCATCTCTTTATACTCAGCAATTGTATATATGGTTATAGGGTGGGGATCTCAACTGTTTCCAAGCTGTGACTAAGAATCTAGGTCCCTAGGGGTTCGGTCAGACCCCAGGGTCTATTCTAATATCATTACTGCATTCGTCTCTTTATGCCCAGCATTTGTATATACAGTTTTGGTGTGGGGATCTCAATCGGTTTAAAGTTATGGCCCAGGACTATGTCTCCAAGGGTGGGGCCAGACCCTAGGGTCAATTCTAATATCATGACTGCGTTCGTCTCTTTATGTCCAACAATTGTATATATAGTTTTGGGGTGGGGATCTTAACCATTTCGAAGTTATGACCCAGGGGTTAAGTCTCCAAGGGTGGGTTATAGGGTGGGGATCTCAACTGTTTCCAAGCACGGTTTATACAAAATTGGTTCCCCTTTACCCAAGGATGCTTCAGACTAAATATGGAACAAATCCTTTCATTCCTACAGAAGAAGAAGGATTTTAAAGTATTTGCTATGTTTCCCCTACTGGGCCCCGCCGCTCAGTCCCCTATGGCGCCAGGTTTATACAGAATTGGTTCCCCTTTACCCAAGGATGCTTCGGACCAAATATGGAACAAATCCTTTCATTCCTACAGAAGAAGAAGGATTTTAAAGAATTTGCTATGTTTCCCCTACTGGGCCCGCCGCTCAGGCCCCTCAGGGGCCAGACCCACGGTTTATACAAAATTGGTTCCCCTTTACCCAAGGATGCTCCAGACTAAATATGGAACAAATCCTTCCATTCCTACAGAAGAAGAAGGATTTCAAAGAATTTGCTATGTTTCCCCTACTAGGCCCCGCCGCTCAGGCCCCTCTGGGGCCATACCCCCGGTTTATACAAAATTGGTTCCGCTTTAACAAAGGATGCTTCACACCAAATATGGAACAAATCCTTTCATTCCTACAGAAGAAGGATTTTAAAGAATTTTCTATATTTCCCCTATTGGGCGCCGCCCCTCAGGCCCCTCAGGGGCCAGACCCCCTGTTTATACAAAATTGGTTCCCCTTCACCCAAGGATGCTTCAGACTAAATATGGAACAAATCCTTTCATTCCTACAGAAGAAGAAGGATTTTAAAGAATTTGCTATGTTTCCCCTATTGGGCCCCGCCCCTCAGGCCCCTCAGGGGCCAGACACCCTGTTTATACAAAATTGGTTCCGCTTTACCCAAGGATGCTTCACACCAAATATGGAACAAATCCTTTCATTCCTCAGAAGAAGAAGGATTTTAAAGAATTTGCTATGTTTCCCCTACTGTTCCCCGCCGCTCAGGCCCCTCAGGGGCCAGACCCACGGTTTATACAAAATTGGTTCCGCTTTAACAAAGGATGCTTCAGACCAAATATGGAACAAATCCTTTAATTCCTACAGAAGAAGAAGGATTTTAAAGAATTTACTATGTTTCCCCTACTGGGCCCCGCCCCTCAGGCTTCTCAGGGGCCAGACCCCCGGTTTATACAAAATTGGTTCCGCTTTAACAAAGGATGCTTCAGACAAAATATGGAACAAATCCTTTCATTCCTACAGAAGAAGAAGGATTTTAAAGAATTTGCCATGTTTCCCCTACTGGGCCCCGCCGCTCAGGCCCCTCAGGGGCCACACCCCCGGTTTATACAAAATTGGTTCCGCTTTAACAAAGGATGCTTCACACCAAATATGGAACAAATCCTTTCATTCCTACAGAAGAAGAAGGATTTTAAAGAATTTGCCATGTTTCCCCTACTGGGCCCCGCCGCTCAGCCCCCTCAGGGGCCAGACCCACGGTTTATACATATTGCTTCCCCTTTACCCAAGGATGCTTCAGACTAAAAATGGAACAAATCCTTTCATTCCTACAGAGGAAGAAGAATTTTAAAGAATTTGCTATGTTTCCCCTACTGGGCCCCGCCGCTCAGGCCCCTGGCGGGCCAGACCCCCGGTTTATACAAAATTGGTTCCGCTTTAACAAAGGATGCTTCACACCAAATATGGAACAAATCCTTTCATTCCTACAGAGGAAGAAGAATTTTAAAGAA